AGGAGTCGTGAGAAAAATTCGAGAGGTTGCCAACTACCGGAGATGTTCTGTTGCATAACGGCTTCTATAGCAAAACCCTATACATCAACCGCTATACTAAGCGTGGCTGATGGGTCAGGATGAGCGGGGAGTGTGACTTGTGCCAGAGCCGTCTTGATCTCTGAAAATGCAATACGTGCGGCATCGTTCAATTCTAATTTGCATGGATTACTGCGAAGTAAATCGGTTAATGGTCGTAACCGTTCTGCTGCATGTGGGATGAAACGTCCGTAGAAGTTAACCAAACCGATAAATGCCTTCAGTTCCTTGAGTATGGACGGTACGGTGTACTCCCTTATTGCACGTACTTTATCCTCGCAAGGTGAAATACCCTCCTGCTTAATGGTGTGACCTAAGAACATTATTTCCGATTTTCCTAGTTCACACTTGTCTGGGTTAACTATTATTCCATTATCCGAAATGCGTTGGAATAAAAGTGTAATATGTTGATAATGTTTATCTACGTTTGATGATGCGATGAGCGGGTCATTAATATAGATGTGAACAAAATCTATGTCTCGTACTATGCTGTCGATAAACCTTTGGAAAGTTTGAGCAACATTCCGTAATCCAAATGGCATTTGCAGGAACTCAGACAAACCCAAAGGAGTCGTGATAGCGGTTTTTCGATATATTCAAGAGCGACTGGGATCTGATGATATGCTCGTACCGAATTGATCTTAGAAAAAATAGTCGTGCCCTTCAGAGACGCCGTGATGTCATGTATGTGGGGAATGGGATGGCTATCTTGGCGTGTGATTAAGTTTAAAGCTCGGTAGTCGCCGCATGGTCTCCAACTAACCCCATCCTTTTTGTGCACCATGTTAAGGGGTGGGGCGCAGGAACTGTGAGAAGGACGAATGATACCAGTAGCTAACAAATTGTCAGACTCACGATTAGCGTAAGCTAATCGGTGCCAGTCGGCGAGGTTTTCCCGTGACTGGGGGTCCGTAAGTGACTATGTGGTGTACCACACGGTTGTTCACCGATGAGATTTCCTCAAGAGGTTTAGTTAATTGGGTGAATTTCCCGAATAAAGGGTGGAATATATCGTCTCGCGAATAAAAGGTTCCTAAGATTTGGTACGCGTTTGTTTGAGCCTAAAAGCCCATGAATTTACTGTTCGACGAAGTATCGATTAACTGTAGCCTACGTGAATCGACTAGCAATTCATAGTGCTGTAGGAAATTGATACCGAGTATGGCTGCGGGGACATCAGCAAAGAGGAACGTCCACAGATACCGTCGTCCGTTGCCCAGGTTGACCGTGAGCTGTCGTATACCATAGGTAGGAATGACTGAGTCATTATCAGACCGTAGCCGAAGTGTCGTAGCTTGTGACCTACTGTTACCAATAGGTATGACAGAAACTTGAGCACCTGTATGTACCAGGTACCTAGCGTTAGTGTGATGATCGTGCACATAAAATAAACGGCCAACCTGGGATGGGAGCTGGCGAGTACGGTCGCATTTACTCGCCGGCTCGGGAGTTTCCTACATTGTATGAGCATTTAGCTCGACAGCGGTGGGCACCGTACATGAAAGTACGATGGAACCAGCACCGACCCGCATTCGCTTCAGAAGCTACCTTTTGGCGTGGCTTGGAATATGTACGCGTTGGGCGAGTAGTTACGGCTTTACAAGAGCGCGACCTGGCTCGAGGGACGTAGGGTTCAAGTATATCGGAACGGTTTCGGAAATGTAGACGTGTATGAATGCAACCACCCCTTTCACCTTGATCCGAAAGGCAGCTAGCGTCGAGGTCTACGTTCGAACGGGATGTTGAGGCAACCACAAGATTGTCTCGAATGCTAGTCCTTGCTAGTATCTTATCTCCTGTGAGGGCCACCTGGCTAAGTGGGTTGTCCTCGAGCAGAGCCGTAACTGTTGGTTGTATTCTTGCTGGTAGGGATTCGAGCTACAATTATTTAACAATTTCAAAATCTGTTGTCGTAGGTCTTGCAAGAGATTGCAGGCGCGTGAGATGGTGGCTCGGTTTAGCATCACCCAGAGGGTGACGTGCTAAACGTGTCCTCAAGCGTTCCTTCATCGACGGGAGGAAATGTCTGAGAATCGCCTCCTTGAGACGATCTTAAACGTGAGGCTTCAGAGACATATCAAACAGTATGGCTGTAGGTTCAGCAGTTACATCCGATAGAGCTTTCATAATCTTAGGATGAACTCCATCAAGACCACTGGACTTAGAGGTTTGAGATGCTGAAGTATTTTTAAGATAGTACTTTCCTCATTAATTACAGGGTCCACCAACAGGCTGCTACAACCATAATTAATTGTTGGTCGTTCCTCATTGCTGATAGAAAACACTTTACTGAGATATTGTGATAGAGCTTCAGCTTTTTTAGCATCATCTATTGACAATATTAACGGATTTTCTTGTACCGAAAGTGATAGAACTCCATCACTTATCTGAATTCTCCGTTTTATCTATGAGAATGATCGTTTCGGACTATTTTTACAATCCCTAAGCAATTGTTTTTTATATGACTGTTTAGTCTTACTTATTAACGCTTTTCAACCATTCCTAGTCTCACAATAACTGGGTCTGTACTGTTCTCAGTCAGCAGAGGATAGACATATTTCAAAGCTTTTTCCTACGTCTAAGAAGTTGCTTGACTTGCTTAGTTATCCATGGTGGACAGTTTTTCGCTCTACGTGGTACTAGGTATGGTATGAAAGAGGACGTAACTTTACTAAACTTACCTTTAAATATAGACCATGCTTCTTCAACTGATGAGCTAGTATCTAAAGACCAATCCATCTTATCAGCGCACTCTTAAATGGTTAATGTATTAGTTCTTCATAGATTTGGGCGAGGCTTAATCTGATCTCATATCATGTCACTAGCTCTAAACATGAGTGACAAAATAGCGTGATTGCTATTCCCTAACGTTGGAAGAATATTGAAACTGGCAATGTCCTCAGTTGCACCAGTGGTTACCAAGTCTAACAAAGAAGAACCTTGGTTTGCACTGAAACGTGTAGGTTCAGTTACACGCTGCGCTGATGAACGCTCCGTCATGGTCATCAGAAACCTACCATCAAAAGAGTTTATAGATCCTACCGTGGTCATCTCAGTTCAACTAATATCAGGTGCACTAAAGTCTCCTAATGTTAAGCATCTTCTACTTGCACTCCATAGCTGAATGTGCTCTGAAACAAAGTCATCAGCTAAGCAGATTGGGCTGTTATAGATGACACCGAGTATAAATGTACAACATCTGATAGTGAGCTCAAAGCTAATGACATCACAAGTTCCACTATCATGGGACGCGCAAGTAAAGGAGCAGATATTTATATTATTGGCTATGTATAAAAGAACGCAACCTCCTTCCCTATATCTGTGTTTACCACTTCTTAGGTCATGGTATCCGGATAATTCTGGGGTAATTTCGAAGTCATGAACTAACCAACCTCCTGTCACAACTACTATGAATGGCTTTAATTTGTCCACTAACGCTTCTAGTTCGTAGAATTTATTTATTAGATTACGAGCATCGGTATATAAAACTCCAAGGAAGAAAGGACTATCAACACAGGCCTTGATAGCATTCGCTTCCAAGACCCATCAACGGGAGATTTTCCTCACCGTTTTGTCGACGAGTTTTTAGTTCAGCTAGTACCATCCTTCTTTTTATTCAATCTTCAGGAGATATATACTATCAAACTTAGGTAGTGTATTTTGTGGAAGTTAACCAATGGTTTGCTAACCAATTGTGTACCGCTTATGGCTTTTTCCCTCTCACTTCTTGTTCTCCGTACCGTCGTCCATTTTTCATCATTCAGACAGTCACATATGACTATTCGGGACAGTGAGCCTTTTGTCCGGGTCTTCAATTTTCACTGAAGGTACATGACTACCCATGTCAATATCAAGTGCACTTCATTTCTCGTTAGTTTCAACTGAGATTTTACTTTTTCCTCAATTACAGTCGGCTGTTCAACGCGTCCCTTAACAGCAAGTACCACACTGACACATTTTTCACTGCCAATACTCCTGTTACCATTGCAACCACCATCTTTCTTCTAACAGGCCAGAGCTTATAGGCTCACAGCCTCCTGGCTCAGTAACATCTTATTCGTACAGCATAATATACAAAGCCAATGCGAGTTAGGCTTTGAGCATCTTTTGTGTGCGGTGGTACTTAAACGGGTACACATCTTTTGGAACCACTTTTTATGCTGACCACATTGCATTCCTCCCTGCACGAGGAACAAAAAATTTAGCTATCCATATTTATAAGTACTACCAACCATTGTAATCCGATTAGGAAGGTCTAAAGCACAATATGATCACAATATGTACACAACGGTCGGAGTCAATGAGAAAGAAGGTACCACAAGACAAAGTTTGGCAAAATTTCAAACCTCAACCGCAGTACTCCGAGTTAAAGTATTCCGAGAATGCTTTTTGATGCAACAAGTGCATAAAAGCAGATATAAACTCAACAAGTACTAAATCACTAACTTTTTTTTAAACGCGCGGTTCATAGAATCTGGCGAAAAGTTAGTAGAGTTGGGTCAACTTCATTCGTTTTACATGTCGATATTATATACTTACTGTGGGTATGTTTTGCAAGGATTTATTAACCACAGAAGTCGTATTACCTTCCGTATTTCTTTCACGCAGGTCTTGAAGTCATCTCAAATGGTCACTCGTTGTGATAGCAAGATTGAAGATTCGTCATACATCATGCATTACTATGATGGCATCACTTTCATTACTTGGAGGATGGACGTTATCAGGCAGTGTGGCTGAACTCGAACCAAATCTAAAACCGTCTTGCTTTGATCGCTTCTGCAAAGCCTTACAAATTGTCGAGGTGACGCACCAATCGTTTTATGACGGTTTGACCTTCAAGTGCTCAGCAGCCTCCACAAACGACCATTGCCCACCGCGCCAGGAGACACACGCTCAACCGAGTGGGACAAAAGTATTCAGCAATGGATGCAAAACGAAGTGGCCTTGAATTTGACAAGACTGCTGAAAAAGTAGGTCTCAGTGTTTTCTTCATATACAGCAGGTGGTTATGGAACCATATAGTTACATATGTAGTACAAATGGGAAAGGAATTCGCAGTGCATTGGTGGCAGCCTTTAATTATTGGCTAAAAGTTCCTGAAAGTGTTTTGAGTGTCATATCAAGTGTAATCCAAATGCTGCACAACGCCAGTTTGATGTAAGTCTTTTCATGAGTTTATTGCAGTTACCAGTAATACCTAGCATACACACCTATACGTAAGTATTCATTAGTAAATTGGTGATTTAAGTATCTGGGATTTGGTTTTTTCTACCACAAACTTGCAAGTCTAACGCGCTTACTAGTCAATGGGTTACTCAAATGTATGGGTGTTGTAGACAAAATTTCACTCGATGTTGATAATAACAGTACTACATCATTACACTCCTCAGTTTTCAAGATAGTGAAGTAATGGAACTCTGATGGGTTCTTCGAATTGCACCAAAACTACGTCACTTTACTGTCGAAATCAATTTTTGTGTGGAATGCAGGGCTTGTACCCTATTGATCGTAATTATCTCTTTTTCTTGCGCGTACATTATGATAATGAGGTACAATTCTATGTTTCCCCGAAGTAGGACTCCTAGGATAGAACAAATAAAAGCAGTTAGGATGGATAAAAAGCCTGGACAATGAGACCTGGAATCCAGAAATGAAAACAGTATGCACACGTGCTACTGTGATTGGATACTAACGATCACATTTTGTACCTGGCTACCGGCTTCTCGTGTCTGAGGTCCTAGATGAAAAGCTTACACGGCTCAGATTGCCAGTAATTTCTAACCTACATGTAGGATGAGGCGGTCGTCTGTATTGGCTCTAACGATTTCTGATTTCAAACACCAATATATTACTAAATAAAACTCAGGAACCACATATAGATTCATATGCTCAACCTTGGTTTGTCTATTTTCCCTAGAAGTCCTGCCCGAATGTTAAGAATGTGTCAATCGGAGGGGGTGTGAGAGTCTGAAATAAGTTTATGGTTGAAAGCCATCACCGGCCCATCGGTGCATATGCAAAGATGGTGCTCCTGAATCGAAAAGGTCTTATTCCAAAACTTTGCCTCCATTTTTATTAACACATTTTAGGCGCAATTCGCCTGACTATTGTGTTTATACGAAGTTTTTGAGTAGTCTATCAGGATTCTGTTTGTTACTGATTATTTGTAAGTAGCAAGTCGGTTTTGTTTAGTTTCTCTTGGTATCAAAGATTTGTTACTGGTAGGATTTGCTGAAAATTTTGTCATTCCGGTGAACTACCTTGATCAAATCTCATTTATCAACTATAGCTCTGTGGATTCGTGTTACTACCCCACTCGTTATGCCTGAGTGGGTAATGCTAGTTTCAAACATGAGACCCACTGATGCCACTCATGCTACAGGTTTCCTCGTATCGTTTACGTACTGTAGAAAGCAAATCTTATAGTTTGTGTTGTTCACACTGATATGACTCATCCAAGTTGGGTCATCGTCTATGGTGACTTATGAGAATCTGTTCTTTAGGTTGAATGCTTGTATGGCATATCTGTACAAAGTTTGGTCGTGTTTTATGAGATCTGATAAAACAATTTGTAGTTAACAATATTAACACTTATAATTTCATTAATTTGTGCGGTGATAATTCAGTGGTTCAGTTACTTGCTTGTCAACTACTGAGTCAAATATCGTTACACTTAACTTGGCTTAGATAACTGGATTTTATCGCTAGCCCTCATATAAGTCTCTTAGCTCAAAATTAAGTACATAAACCCGTACTTCGTGAAAAGAAATTTCATGTTATCAATATTTGTATATTTCATCTTCATTTCCGATAAAATGTATAAGTATTTTCCAAATTCGTCTCAGTCATACTTGAATTCTTGTTCATATGTGGATTTGCTCATAAAGGTTGAGTAAAGTTATATATATATAATTAATGAGGAAATCAGTGTGTTTTGATTATTTTGGTCTTTATAGTGATAAAAATTCGTTTTTGATTTAAATTTTTAGTATTGATGACATCGAAGACGGTTCTCACTTACGGCGTGGTAAACCAGCTGCTCATTGTATTTTTGGAGTCGCACCGTCTATCAATTCCGCAAACTATGCTTATTTTCTTGCCCTAGAAAAATTATCTCTACTAGAACGTCCTGAATCGGTAAAAATATTTACAGGTGCTTAATAGTTATATTTTCTAAGAAATGTTTGGTTGGTGTGATTGTATATTGATTAGATATTGATAATGACATTAGCTACGAAACATAGATTGATGTTATTATTTCTACAGGAGTTTGTAAATTTCTGAATTTCATGACTTAAATCTCGGAATTGTCTTAGACGGCCAGGGCCTTCAGGTCTCCGTAGAATAAAATGACGAAATTTAGCAGTCTATAAACCCTCATAGTAATAAGCATGTGCTTACTAGTGACTAAGCGCAGGTGGTAATTCCAGGAGATTTATTGAAAAGTAAGTTTTGGAGTTTAACTATGTCGAGTTTAAGACAAATATCACCACTGGCTATGAATGACGATCTCTCAGTATCCCAAGTCCATTATAGTTTGATCACGTTAATAACTGGTTGTGTCGGGCCAGTTGTCTAACGTCTAAGTACTCGTCGTGAGGATTGAATGTCCTGGGTTCGATTTTTTCAATTCAATGACTCCACACTATTAGTAAGTCCAATACCAGAACGAAACCGCTGTCCAGTGCTTTCTGTTTTCCAATGTTTAAGATCATTAGCAATGTAAACTATAAGATTCGTGTTATTTTGCGATTCTATTGTGAATCTCTTATCTTACTTATTTGATTCCTTTAATTTTCGAAACTATTTCACTGTAATGGATAACTTGCGACTTAAGTGGTATGTCCTGGGTTTCACCACTGATACCAGTTAGATTTTTCTCTTTGACAATTTCGCTGTTCTGCATAATATTTCTGGTTAACATTGATTCATCGAAAACGTACACTTCAGTATTTTCATAAGCTGAGATTGGTATCTGGACATTTTTCAGTCACTATAAAGCTGTCCGTTCTCGTTTTCATTTAAAGCATGTTTCTGAGCAAATTATTTCTGCATTGAACAAACAGTCTGGTTTTTAACCTATAGAAGAAGGTTTGGTTTATTGATCGTTCGTTCAATATGAAGTTGTTTAAAGTGGTGACTTGAGTTATTCGGTACACTGTCTACTGATATGCTAGAGTAATTTTGGACGGTTTATGGTATAATCCATACTCATTAATCTAATGTAAGTTCTCGAGGACAGAGATTTTAATTATATATATCACGCAGTCAGTCAGCTACAACGTAGGACCAGACACATACATGCATCGGTCCAAATTGCCACACATCATTAGCACAGCAAGACGAACACCGGATTCATAGAAGCAGTTAACTCAATGATGTAATATACAAAGGAAAGATTTTGTGTAAGGATATAGTACAGGAAGAAAGAATTAGTTCGTAGAAGGCATAAAGTAATCATAGTTTAAGGGAAGACAAAGAGTGTATATACCCACGGCATTGTGATCGATTCTGAGCCATTTCACTCACAGTCTCCAACCATTGGTTACGATAGTCACGCGGACCCCAACCAAGTAGTCTGCATCTATCAACATGGCTAAGACTAGAAGTTAGTGACTTCAAACACTGATGTCACGTTTTGGCTTGGTCGCCCCTAACTTCCGACCATCCCCAACACTAGTCAGCATTGCGCGTCGTGGTAATCGGTGTTCAGGCACACGTAACACGTGGCCCAACCATCTCAGTCGATGAAGATTCACAACCTCATAAACTGATTTACCACCATTCCCTAATACCATAAGCCTAACCTCACTATTACGTACCTGATGATCCCAGCAGATGCGAGCAGTATTTCTAAGAAATCTGTGGTCAAATACCAGTAACTTACGAGTATCTTCTACTCTTAATGGCGATATTTCGCAGCCGTAAAGTAGAACAGAACGAACTACCGAGCAGTACACACATCCCTTCCATCGGAGACGGGAGCGGCTACTTCAATGTCGTGTCGTCTTTTTCCAAGATAGTTTCACACTTGACCTTTTAGTTCCAGTTTCTTCCATGAATCTGAAGAGTTGTGTTGTGTTCCCCATAGCCGCCGCCTTTTCCGTCTCTTTGTTTCGATGCCCACCACTGCTCACGGTTGTTCCTTAGACTTTTGCTTAACCTAGATCTGATTTTCTTTCTTTCTTCATCGTGTTCAGAGCCTGATGGGACGAGTTTACGAGAATCCACCAGTGCAACAGACCTTGAAATAATCCAATGTTTCTTTGTAACCCTTTTGTTTAAGTAACTATTAGATATCACCGCTGTTTTCACAGCTGCTTGTAAATCTTTCCAAGCAACATCTGGATCAGCCTCGTTTTCAGAACTACCTAAGTGTGACCTCAGTTCTTCCTGGGACCTACTTTTGGTTTTCTCGTTACTCAATTCAGTTCTAATGGGTCTTTTTAGTGTGGCTTTTTTGCGTCCAGTGAGGCGCAAGCAGATGCTTACCCGTATTAGCGCATGATCGGAGTCCAAGCAGGTACTCCATAATGAGCGACAATCTTCTACCGACCCTCTCCAACGATGACTGATGGTAATATGGTCTATTCGAGTCCATCGTTGGTTTGGTGCTGGGCGTCGCCATGTTAGACGATGTCTCTCCTTATGCTTAAAATTTGTGTTTGCTAAAAATAAACGATTGTCTGAGCACAGTTGCAGCAGACGATCACTATTATCTGTTCGCTGAGGTGGGATACTAAAATACCCACCTAAATGTCTTTCTGCTTGGTTTAAGCTACCCATCTGGGGATAAAAGTCACCTGCTACGAGTACTATGTCTGAGCGTTTAGCTTTCTGAAGCTTTCTGTAAAAGTCATCTTTCACTCCATCCGTGTCGCGGTCAGTGGGAGCGTAGGCAGAAACGACGAAAAGGCAACGTGTTTCCCTATCCTTCCGAGTTCTTACGGATCCGTTTAATCGAACAACACAGACGACTGTTAACGGGGATCCACTCTCATAGTGCTTGTTCCACCCTCGTGCTGAGTTCTATGTCTACACCTTCCAGTCCACACGAACTGACCATCGGGTCGCCAGATACACGGAGGGTGTATCTCGTCGGCTCTTCGTTTTGGCGAGGTGGGGTCAAGTGAAAGACCACACTAGGATCCAGTATACGTGTTTCGGAGACGCAGTATTCATCAATGGTACGAGATTCTGGTCTCAGCCTAAGAGGCCTGCAGACCGATTTGACAAAGGGTGCGTACGTTGAAGGCTCCAATTTGTAGTTTGGAGCGAGGTTTCAGTAGACCTGGGACAGTGTTTTGAGCACTAGAATCGTTGGCTATGATGACATTTGAGGAGGAAGTCAAAAGAAGAAGTTTAGTGCAGTCAGTCAGTAACAACGTAGAACTTCGTACGTACGTACATCAGTTCGAGTTGCCACACCACATTAGCACAGAGATGCAGTGGTCGATTCAAATCCCGTAGTGGTACAGGTAGCAAGAGTATAAGCAGTAATCGGGAAGATTAGGGTTTGGAGATGTTATTTAAAGAGTATAATCCAGTGAAAGAAATTTGGAAAGAGGGAAAAAGGGACATGAAGAATTCAGAAGATTAGAGTTTGGGAGAACACAGAGAGTGGATGCACCTGCGCCATTGCGAACGATTTTGAGCCATGTCATTCAGGGTCTCTAACCATCAGTTGCTGTCATCTCGCGGTCCCCAACCAGGTAGTCTACACCTACCAACATGACTCAGTCCACTTGTCAGTGACTTCATGGACTTGAGCCATGTTTTGGTTTGGCCGCCCCTAGCTTTCTTCCAACCTACTCCTATACCACTGAACATAGCACGTCGAGGCAGTCGGTCGTTGGGCATACGTAACACGTGTCCCAGCCATCTCAACTGATGAAGTTTCACTACGTCATCAATTGATTTGCCATCCTTACCTAGTACCCGTTTCCTAACAACTGTGTTACTTACTCGATGGTCCCATGATATACGAGCAATGTTTCGAAGACACCTATGATCGAATACTAGTAACCTACGGATATCCTCTACTCTTACCGGCCATGTTTCACTGCCATAAAGTAGGACGGAACGAACTGCTGCGCAGTAAACACGTCCTTTGGTTGATAGACGGATATCTCGCCTACGCCATAAATGACGCAAGTTGGCAATAGCTAGTCGAGCCTTCTGTATCCGTGCTGAGATTTCGTCACACACTAGACCACAAGGGCTGATGAGACTTCCAAGATAAGTGAAGCGGTCGACACACTCAACTACTTCACTCCCTATCACTAGTTCGGATGTCGATGTAACCCAATCCTGAAGCAACATTTTGCATTTCGAGGGAGAGAATCGCATCCCGAACATGCTTGCATTGTTGCTTAGAGTGGTCAGAAGACTCTGCATTTTGTCAGCGTCTTCACCAAATAAAACTATGTCATCAGCATATTCTAAGTCAACAAGTGAACCTCCTGGTAGAAGTTCAACCCCTGTAAATTTAGATGAGGAAAGTGTTATCTCTAAAAGTACGTCAATGACAAAGTTGAACAAGAATGGGGAGAGTGGACAGCCCTGACGAACACCACTTGAGGTGATCAATTCTGATGACAGTTCGCCATAAGCTCTCACTCTACCAGTTGTGTTCGAGTAGAGAGCCTTTATAAGGTTAATGTACTTCTTTGGTACTCCTTTCAGTGACAAACTGCCATAGAACCTCACGATCAATAGAGTCGAATGCCGCCTTAAGGTCGAGAAATACTACCATTGTGGGGCGTCTGAATGTGTGTCTGTGTTCCAGAACCTGACGTAGTGTGAATATCTGATCTATACAACCACGTCCAGGTCGAAAACCAGCCTGGTTTTCTCTAGTCTGCTCTTCACGAGCTTTAGTTAGGCGTCGAAGTATGATTGAGGCTAATATTTTAGACACTATATTAGTCAAACTGATTCCTCTGTGATTGTCACAGGAGGACTTTTGTCCTTTCTTAAAAACTGGCACAATCAGTGATTGAGACCAGTCAGATGGGATTACGTCCAGTTCCCAAATTCTACCTAAGACCTCGGTTAATCTCATTGCTAATACTGGACCACCATCCTTAAAAATCTCAGGAGTAAACCTGTCAGGGCCTGCTGCTCTCCCTCGTTTCAGATTTCCTATGGCTTTTTCAACTTCGTAAAGGGACGGAGGACCTACATTAACTTGCCATTCAGGTTGACTGGAGATCGTTAGAAACCGAAATGTGGCTGAAGGCCAGTTGAACTGATCCCTAAAGTGTTCTGCCCATCGATCCAATCTCCTGGATTGAGAATGAATAATATGTCCATCTTTCTCTGAGATTGTTTCGCTAACGATCGGGTTCCTAATTCCGGTTTCCTTAACGAGTCTAAACAATTGTCTGCTATTACCTATTGCCGCTGCCTTTTCCATCTCTCTTGCTTTCGCTACCCACCACTGTTCGCGATCATTGCGTAGACTTCTTGTCAGCTTGCGCTTAAGCTGACTCCGCTCTTCATTATGTTCAGAGCCAGGTGGAATGTGTTTCCGAGCATTTATCAGTGAGATAGATGCTGCTGAGATCCAGTGTTGCTCCCTAACCTTCTGGTTTACCTTACTAGCAGATATCACTGCTGTTTCCACAGCTTTTCGGATATCATTCCATGCTGCATCGGGGTGGGCATCACATACATGGCTGTCTAACTGTCTTCCTAGTTGTTCCTGAAATATACTCTTAGCTTGACTATCATTAAGTAGGGCCCATAGAGGTTTCCTTGCAAGATCTTTCCTACGTCCAGTAAGACGCAGGCAAACGCGCGCTCGCACTAGAGCATGATCTGTATCTAAGCATGTGCTCCAGAACGAGCGACAGTCTTCTATCGAGCCCCTCCATCGGTGGCTGATAGCGATGTGATCTATTTGGGTCCAACGTTGGGACGAATTAGGGGGTCGCCATGTTAAAAGATGTTTATCCTTATGCTTAAAGTTAGTATTTGCAAGGAACAGCCGGTTATCTGAGAATAGCTGCAACAGACGGTCGCCATTATCTGTTCTTTGAGCTACGACACCATAAGATCCACCTAGGTGTCTTTCCTTATCGCTTAGTTTACGTACTTGAGCATTAAAGTCACCGGCCACTATTACTACATCCGAGCGCCTAGCTTTTCGGAGAAGGTCGGGAAGCTTTCTGTAAAACTCATCTTTTACATCATCTGAGCTGCAGTCAGTGGGAGAATAAGCAGAGACGACGAAGAGGCAACGACGAGTGTCCCTATCTTTCCGGATTCTTACTGTTCCGTTCAGTCGGACAGCGCACAAACGACTGTTTACTGGGATCCACTCTAAGAGAGCTAGTTCTGCCCTAGGACTCAATGCTATACCTACGCCGGCGAGGCCACGGGAAGCAGAATCAGGGCTTCCAGATACACGAAGCGTAAATCGAGTCGGTTCTTTATTTTGGCATGGTGAGGTCAAATGAATGACGCTACTTGGATCCTGTATACGCGTTTCGGAGACGCAGCACACATCGATGGCGCGAGATTCTAAAGTTTTAGCTAAGGAAGCCTGCTGTCCTATTTGGCAAAGTGTTCGTACGTTAAAAGCTCCTACGTGTAGTTTAGAGCGTGGTTTCAGGAGACCAGGAATAGCGTTCCACGTACTCGAATCGTTTGCCCTAGCGGTGCGAGGTGATAAAGAGACGTGAGGAGGGTTAGTCGGGAGGATAAGAGAGGTATTAGGAGGTGTAGGAAGGATTTGAATGTGACCACCTTGGTCTCTTGTGCTGTTACGGGTATGAGGGCTGATGTCACTTCCCGGCTGCCCACACCGTGGAAGGGTATTTCTTGAGGAACCTGAAAAGGAAATTGGATTAGTGTTGGTCTTGACGACCTGGGAGCGTGACCGCAGAGCCCAAGGGACAACTGCTTGAGGCCGGTCGCGCACGGCCTTTTTGTGGAAGGTTTTTGACGTGTTAGCTCCGTTCTTCAAGGGGCCTTACCGCCGGAGACGGAAATCCGTGAGTTAAGGTGAGGTGTGCATTTTTAGGGTCGACCTTTTCTAACCCCACCCCTCCTTGTGGGAAGGCAGCATCGCTGTTATGCTGGTTGTCCGAGGGAAACACCTTACTGCTGTCACACCTCTCTACAGTCAGCAGTACGACTTCGCCCTCAGACCTTGAGTTGCTGCTTTTAGTCTTACCGTTCGCCAATCGACCTGCCTGGCATGGTAGAACCTACAGGAACATATGTTCCAGCCAATATAGCTCGGTTGGGTCATCACGATAGGCAAGCCCGACCACCGCGTCAAGGTAGCAGCTTCGATCGGGGAAGTTTAGTGCTGAAGGTCGCCGTAGCAAAAATAATAGGAACCGAAGGAAGACGTTGATTATGAATAAAGTCTTGAGTGCTGTTAGAGGTATGAGTGCGGTTATCACTTCCCGGTCGCCCACATCGTGCAAGGGTTCTTCTGGAGGTACCTGGAAAGGAAATCGGATTAGAGGTGGTCTTGGTGACCCGAGAGCGTGACCACAGTGCCCAAGAGACAACTGCTTGAGGCCAGTCACACACGACTTTTTGTGAGCAGTTTTCGTGTTAGCTCCGTACTTGTTGGGACCTTGCAACCGGAGACAGATATCCGTGGGAAAAGGCGAGGTGTGCATTTTTAGGGTCGACCTTTACTAACCCCACCTCTCCTTGTGGAAAGGCAGCATCGCCGTTATGCTAGTTGTCTGGAGGGGACACCTTACTGCTGTCACACCTCTGTACAGTCAGCAGTACGACTTCGCCTTCAGACGTTGGGTTTGTTGCTTTTAGTCTTATCGCTCTTCAGCAGACCTGTTTGGCATGGTAGGATATTAAAAAATGATTGTTCCAGCCAGTATAGCTCGGTTGGTTCATCACGATGGGCAAGCTAGACCACCACGTCAATGTTGCAAAAACGGTCGGGATATGTATAGAAATATATATCTAAGCTATTATTAGACTTTGATGTAGTATATGCGAACTGACTCGTGATGTAAATTCATCGGTCTTATCATTGGGACGGTTATACTTTACCACAATAACAGCTTCCTGTAGGCTTTTTTGTTTTGCTATCAGAATTCAGTGTTATCAAGTCTGGTTTGTTGAGTAAAAGTGAAGTTGTTTCATTTGAACTTTTAGAGCAAATGCTTGTATTGCATCGTGGACAAGGTATGGATATATTTTGGCGCTCCTCTTTTAAGTGTCCATCAGAATCAGAATACGAGGCTATGGTATTATGTAGTAAGTTTAATGAATTATGAAGTAATTTATAGTCGTTTCTATTGCCTACATATTTTTCACTTGAGATAGATATTTAGTATATTTTAAGTATTTTATTAAATGAACATTCAGTAAATATTGCTACAATGAATACAATGTATAATGAAAAATTAGTGTGACAGTAAATATATCCAAGTACTCCTAACATTCACTGCTACTGATTGTAATGCTACATATTTTTAAGTTATTTTATTATTTTTGTCCATTTGTATCATCTCTATAAAGACTGGTATTTTCACTTCAAATTTATCGTAGCTGTGCCAGTGTTCGGAGTAATTTGTCTTTGCTTTTTACTACGTATTAAGTTTGATCTCACCAGAATATGGTTACAAAATACCTCAATACAAAGTAGATTATCCATATTATAATGATTAACTCTACTCTACAACTACCAACCATTCCCAAACAACCTAAATGAAAGATTGAAGTAGCCGCTCCCGACTCCGATGGAAGTCCAAAAAAATATAGTTAATCTGAAACGAGGAAGAGCAGCTGGTCCGGATGGATTGGCTCCAGAGGTGTTTAAGGATGGTGATCCAGTTTTAGCGATTAGGTTGAATAATATTTTAGCCTAACTCTGGGAACTGAATGTAATTCCATCTAACTGGTCGCAGTCACTGGTTGTCCCAATATATAAGAAGCGGTCCAAATCATCCTGTGATAACCATAGGGAGATCAGTTTGACTAATATAGCATCCAAAATACTAGCCTCAATAATTGTCGGACGCTTAACAAAGACTCGTGAACTTCAAACACGAGAAAATCTGGTTGGCTTCAAACGTGGTCGTGGCTACATCGACCACGTATTCACTATTCGTCAGGTTTTAGAACTCAGACACGCTTATCGGCGTCCGACAATGATAGTTTCGCTTAATTTAAAAGCAGCACTTGACTCCGTGGACCGAGAGGCTCTGTGGCAGTGTGTCATTGAAAGCCGTACCTCGGAAGTACATAAATATTGTGAAGGCTCTTTACTCGAGTGAGAGCTTACAGCGAACTGTCATCTGCTTTTGCAACCTCAAGTGGTGTCTGGCAAGGCTGTCCACTTTCGCCACTTTTGTTTAGCTTCGTCATAGACATACTGATGGAAACAATGCCCTCATCGACTGAGTTTTCGGGCATTGATCTCCTACCAAGAGGTCCACTTATCGAATTAGAATACGCAGATGATATAGTCCTGTTTGGTGAAGATACTGATAAAATCTGTTGGTAGCACTGAGCAACAATGCCAGGATGTTTGGGATGTACTTCTTCCCCTCTAAATGCAAGTTGTTGTTTCAGGACTGGTCTGCGTCAACACCTGAACTAATGATAGGGAGTGAAGTAGTCGAACGCGTAGACAACTTTACTTATCTTGGAAGTCTGATCAGCCCTAATGGATTGGTGTCTGACGAAATCTCTACACGGATTCGAAAAGCTCGATTGACGTTTACCAACTTACGTCACGTATGGCGAAGGCTAGATATCTGTTTATCAATTAAGGGATGAGTGTACTGCTCGGTAGTTCGTTCTGTTCTACTTTACGGCTGCGAAATATCGCCATTAAGAGTAGAAGATACTCGTAAGTTACTGGTATTTGACCACAGATGTCTTAGAAATACTGCTCGCATCTGCTGGGATCATCGGGCACGTAATAGTGAGGTTAGGCTTATGGTATTAGGGAATGGTGGTAAGTCAGTCAGTCAGCTACAACGTAGGACCAGGTATATATGTGCATCGGTCCAGGTTGCCATACCGCATCAGCACACAAGATGAACACCGGATTCATAGCAGTGGTTAGGTCAAAGGTGGTAATATATATGAGAAAGATTGCATATACAGATATAGTACAAGAAGAAAAAATTGGTTCGTAGAAAGAAAGGTATGAAGCGATTTCAATCTCTTAGTTTAAGGGAAGACAAAGAGTGTATATACCCACGGCATTGTGATCGATTCTGAACCATTCCACTCACAGTCTCCAACCATTGGTTACGATAGTCACGCGGACCCCAACCAAGTAGTCTGCATCTACCAACATGGCTAAGACTAGAAGTTAGTGACTTCAAACACTGATGTCACGTTTTGGTTTGGCCGCCCCTAACTTTCTTTCAACCATCTCCAATACCGGATAGCATTGCACGTCGGGGTAAGTCAGTTTATGAGGTTGTGAATCTTCATCGACTGAGATGGTTGGGCCACGTGTTACGTGTGCCTGAACACCGATTACCACGACGCGCAATGCTGACTAGTGTTGGGGATGGTCGGAAGTTAGGGGCGACCAAGCCAAAACGTGACATCAGTGTTTGAAGTCACTAACTTCTAGTCTTAGCCATGTTGGTAGATGCAGAATACTTTGTTGGGGTCCGCGTGACTATCGTAACCAATGGTTGGAGACTGTGAGTGAAATGGCTCAGAATCGATCACAATGCCGTGGGTATATACACTCTTTGTCTTCCCTTAAACTATGATTACTTTATGCCTTCTACGAACTAATTCTTTCTTCCTGTACTATATCCTTACACAAAATCTTTCCTTTGTATATTACATCATTGAGTTAACTGCTTCTATGAATCCGGTGTTCGTCTTGCTGTGCTAATGATGTGTGGCAATTTGGACCGATGCATGTATGTGTCTGGTCCTACGTTGTAGCTGACTGACTGCGTGATATATATAATTAAAATCTCTGTCCTCGAGAACTTACATTAGATTAATGAGTATGGATTATACCATAAACCGTCCAAAATTACTCTAGCATATCAGTAGACAGTGTACCGAATAACTCAAGTCACCACTTTAAACAACTTCATATTGAACGAACGATCAATAAACCAAACCTTCTTCTATAGGTTAAAAACCAGACTGTTTGTTCAATGCAGAAATAATTTGCTCAGAAACATGCTTTAAATGAAAACGAGAACGGACAGCTTTATAGTGACTGAAAAATGTCCAGATACCAATCTCAGCTTATGAAAATACTGAAGTGTACGTCTGGTCCTACGTTGTAGCTGACTGACTGGCTGTGTATTCTATTGCTATGAGTTATCAATCGTTTTGTTATTTATTTTGAAATCATTAATTCATATGTGTTCTAAAGTACTTACACAGATGTATGTTCCGCTTAATGTTTATGATTTGTGTCACGATCGGTGTGAATTTAGTATATCTTAAGAGTTTATTCATTGTATTTTTCTCATAGTTGCACTAATTAAAGCAGCTCAGTTGTTATGATACTCGAAAATGTTGGTACATTACATTACTTTCACCTATTAAGGTTATGTAATAAGTTTTAAAAACTATTTCTTTAACATAGCTTTTTATGAGATAGTTTCAATACTGAGTGAATTCCAGGAGTTAGGAAGTTGAAGATTTGTTGTATATTGTCGTTTTCTAGTTTCTAATCTTTCTATTGAGGTGTTCCTAACCATGTATTCTCTTTGTATTGTGCTTTGGTGTACTTGAGCGCTTTGTTTTTTTCATCTTTTTAAATAATACATATTTAACCTCAACTTTGTTTCCAGAAACTGGTGGTCTGTTCAGTCTAGGTGTTCGTCTCATGCAATTGTTCTCTGAAAATCAAACGTACGTTAAGATAACTGTCCATTTTTCACTCAATTAAAAATTTTGAACGGTATACATCAAATTAATTTCTCCCTGTTCATGAAGAAATTAGATATTCCCACTGATTTACTTTGAAATGTTTTAAAATATCTTTGTGTGATATAACAATAATAATAATACTAGTAATAACAATAATAATAATGTAAATCGTCATTTGAGTACGTTTCATCAAATTTCATGTTGAAGCTATTTTATGCTTCCCATATTTAGCAATTCCGTTACAGGTTTGAACACTAGATTGATATCTATATCTTATATTTTGATATTTCAATTAGAGACTTCCATGTAGATATTGCAATCCTCCCAGATGAGAAGACAGTAGAAGATTCTTGTATGAAGTTTATACAAATGCTCACATTTTTACGCCATCATCTTTTGTTATCCGGATTTTCTGGAATTTATTTTCATGTAATTTTAATTCATGTTCTGATTCCGGACTAGTCAAGTGAAGTATTATGTTTGCGGGATATTAAAAAGTAGAATGATAACACTAGTACGCTATTCTTTTGGGAGCATTGATTTTGAGAATTAAAATTAAGCCCTTATAATTAGCAAATTTGTTAGTGTTTCTTCTGTTAATTAAAATCAATGTCAAAATGAAATAAAATTAGTTATATATATTGTTCATCTAACTACACTTGTAAATATTTGTGAGCATAAACATCAATGGAACTTTATTGTCCCTCCGTAACCAAAAAAGACCATATAGATTTGACCAATATTGTTTGAAGTACTCAGGTCCATTCTGTGATACTACTGTAAAGTAAAGGCCCCCAAATGTCCTGGTATGGCCGAGAGTGATGAAATTACAACGTGTGATATGTATACACAACCTCTGACCATCCATTTGTATCTTTCTGTGTGTTCTGCAGTCTAGTTAGTTCTAAGCTGTATTTTCTTCCAGTTTTTAAGCGTTCTACCTACGCCATGCTTTCCGACTTACTGAAACTTCTGTCTGTCGACTGTGACAGCTTCCTCACCACGTTCCGATTCATATTACTTACAGTCTGTCTTGTAGATAGTATGCACCACACTACTGTTGATGCTATTAGTGAACATCGCTTTATTCAGAAGTATGTATTTGATTATAATAAAGAATTGTCAACACAAAGTATTCAACAATAAAACGAAATCCTCGTTTTATATTCGCTTCAGGACTGGTCTGCGTCATCACCTGAACTAATGATAGGGAGTGAAGTAGTCGAACGCGTAGACAACTTTACTTATCTTGGAAGTCTGATCAGCCCTAATGGATTGGTGTCTGACGAAATCTCTACACGGATTCGAAAAGCTCGATTGACGTTTACCAACTTACGTCACGTATGGCGAAGGCTAGATATCTGTTTATCAATTAAGGGATGAGTGTACTGCTCGGTAGTTCGTTCTGTTCTACTTTACGGCTGCGAAACATCGCCATTAAGAGTAGAAGATACTCGTAAGTTACTGGTATTTGACCACAGATGTCTTAGAAATACTGCTCGCATCTGCTGGGATCATCGGGCACGTAATAGTGAGGTTAGGCTTATGGTATTAGGGAATGGTGGTAAATCAGTTTATGAGGTTGTGAATCTTCATCGACTGAGATGGTTGGGCCACGTGTTACGTGTGCCTGAACACCGATTACCACGACGCGCAATGCTGACTAGTGTTGGGGATGGTCGGAAGTTAGGGGCGACCAAGCCAAAACGTGACATCAGTGTTTGAAGTCACTAACTTCTAGTCTTAGCCATGTTGGTAGATGCAGAATACTTTGTTGGGGTCCGCGTGACTATCGTAACCAATGGTTGGAGACTGTGAGTGAAATGGCTCAGAATCGATCACAATGCCGTGGGTATATACACTCTTTGTCTTCCCTTAAACTAAGAGATTGAAATCGCTTCATATCTTTCTTTCTACGAACTAATTCTTTCTTCCTGTAATATATCCTTATTGCAATCTTTCTTTTATATATTACCACCTCTGCATTAACTGCTACTATGAATCCGGTGTTCGTCTTGTTGTGCTAATGAGGTGTGGCAACGTGGACCGATGCATATATGTGCCTAGTCTTACGTTGTAGCTGACTGACTGTTAATATTCAAAAGATGTGCATAAAAATTTCTAAATAGTGATTACCTTTCATTCATATTCATCTGTAAATGTTTACAGTCAATTATTCTCACATAATATTTGTTTTAGTTACCTAATATATTGAATATGTGAACTCTGTGTTACAGATAGTTAAAGAAACAAATATGCCATCCACTGCGGTTACTTCCTGTATTATTCAGTAACTAAAATTAGATTTATAAGGTAGATGGTAGATATTTTATGAAAGTGTGCAAGTACACTTGATTATTGTATATAATTTGTCTTCTAAGACAAAAGTTTTTTCAATAAGTGCCGGGAAATTTGAGCAGTCTGGTTTCTTACTTATATATATTTATATTGAAACATAATGGCTATTCAAATCTTATGCTTAAAGGTAGTTCCTTTTTTAAAAACTTGCGATCTGTAATCTTCTGACTTGTCTATTTACCATAGAGATTATAAACCTCTTTTGGATGCGATTGGTCTGTTTTACCAAATTCGTGACGATTATGCAAACTTAGTTGATTTAAGTGTAAGTTGTGTAAACTTGCCTTTTGTTAATTAATATATATATATAAGAATATTTTCATATTTTGAATTGCATGGTGCAGGTTTTTCACTAATCACAGGATGTTAGTGTAGTGGGTCTGCATCGTCTTTTTCCTAATATTGATGTGTCAGCAAAACTTTCTACCTATGGCCGAACACCATGAAGGTTGTTGTAGTGAACTATAACAACTCGTTTGTATACTACTTAGTACTTGTTAAAAAAAACATAGTCTATATTCCGACTAGACTTCCACTTCCATATTTTACGTTGCATTTTCATTGTTTTAAATCCTCGAGGTGGAAATAAGAATATCGTTTTAGATATATAGTCTTAATGAGTTTTATTACAAAATGATTCAATTCATTACAAGGTGACTTCTGATTTACACTCTTTAAATTGAAGTGATCTTGTAGGGATTTTCTAAGGTAATTCTCATGAGGCGTGGGATTATGGGGCGTGTCTACTTTGTATGTAGTCTCAAAACGATGACAAAATCAATATCCAGTGCAAAACATTTCATCATCTAATATAATCAAATTTCGATGTAAACTAAAAAATTGAACCCAGTAAATCCATTGCTTAACGAAGTATAATGTAGTGGCAAAAATAAGACTTGGTTTCTTAATCATCTTACGTTTGTTGTATATCTCAGTTGACATCTGAATTAAAAAAAATTAATTGTCAAACTTCCGAGTCTCATACTGAGTAAGTGTTTTTAAAATTATTTGATCGGCGTCATACATCTCATGGTTTACGCAACTACCATTTTATTAAAGGATGGGCGTCAGTACTTTTGATTTACAGTTACCTAATCATGGAGCTAGTGACCAATGTGATGTTTGTTTACTGATATTGAACCGATCGAATTATGTCGGTCAAGTTGTAATATGTTCATCACCCGACCGTAGCTGCTACCTTGACGCGGTGTTTGGGCTTGCCTATCGTGATGATCCAACCCGGCTATATTGGCTGGAACATATGCTCCTGTAGGTTCTACCATGCCAGGTAGGTCGATTGAAGAACGGTAAGACTAAAATCAACAAACCCAAAGTCTGAAGGCGAAGTCGTACTGCTGACTATAGAGGGGTGTGACAGCAGTAAGGTGTTCCCCTCGGACAACCAGCATAACAGCGATGCTGCTTTATCACAAGGAAGGAAGGAAAGGATTAGGAAATGTCGACCCTAAAAATGTCACACTTCGCGGATTTTTGTCTCCGGTGGTAAGGCCTTTTAAAAAACAGAGCTATCACGTTGAAAACTTCCCACATAAAGGCTGTGCGTGACTGGCCTCAAGCAGTTGTCTCTTAGGCTCTGCGGTCACGCTTCCAGGTCAAGAAGACCAACACTAGTCCGATTTCCTTTTCAGGTTCCTCAAGAAATACCCTTCAACTGTATTGGCGGCCGGGAAATGATATCAGAACTCATACCCGTAACAGCACACGAGACCAAGTTGGTCACAGTCAAATCCTCTCCACACCTCCTAAAAACTCTCTTATCTCAACGACTAACCCTTCTCACGTCCCTTTATCACCTCGCACGCACACTCTAAACTACATGTAGGAGCTTTTAACGTCCGAACGCTGTGACAAATAGGACAACAGGCTTCCTTGGTTAGGGCTTCAGAATCTCGCGCCATTCATATGTGCTGCGCCTCTGAAACGCGCATACATGATCCGAGTAGCGTCATTCATTTGACCTCACCATATCAAAATAAAGAACCATCTCAATTCACACTTCTTGTATCTGGAAGCCCTGATACTGCTTCCCGTGGCCTCGCCGACGTACGTATAGCATTGAGTCCTAGGACAGAGCTAGCTCTCTTAGACTGGATCCCAGTAGACAGTCGTTTGTGCGTTGTCCGACTAAACGGGACAGTAAGGACTCGGAAAGATAGGAACACTCGTCGTGACCTCTTCATCGTCTCTGTTAGGAAACGGGTACTAAGTAAGGATGGCAAATCAATTGATGAAATAGTGAAACTTCAGCTGAGATGACTGGGACACATGTTACGTATGCCCAACCGCCGACTGTTCCGACGTGTAATATTCAATGGTGTAGGAGTAGATTGGAAGAAAGCTAGGGGTGACCAGACCAAAACATGGCACAAGTCCGTGAATTCACTGACAAGTAGACTGAGTCATATTGGCAGGTGTAGACTAGCCGGTTGGGGACCGCGAGATGATGGCGACCGATGGTTAGAGACCCTGAATGACATAGCTCAAAATCGTTTGCGATGGCGCAGGTGCATCCACTCTTTGTGTTCTCCCAAATTCTAATCTTCTGAATACTTCATGTCCCTTTCTTTTTTCTCTTTCCAAATTTATTTCACTGGATTATACTCCTTGAATAACATCTTTAAACCCTAATTTTTCTGATTACAGCTTATAATTTCACTACATCTACCACTATGGTATTTGAATCGACAACTGTATCTCTGTGCTAATGTGGTGTACCAACTCGAACTGATGTACGTACATACGAAGTTCTACGTTGTTACTAACTGACTGACTGATGTTCATCAGTTTGAGTGACTCGACATCGCGTGCGGTATGTTGAGCCCTTAAGCGGTTTGAGTTAGTCTACAGCAAACTTTTGACTTAGGTCACGATTAGTTGGCGTGCCCGAAGTTCGGAGATTACTGATGCTTCCTTTAGTGTTTGAATCCCCATCACCCAGCTTCACAGCTGAAAACGTTAACACAGCTATTTGAGTCATAACTGACCCTGTAGGACCAATATGTCTTTACAACTAATTGATCATTGGGCGTTGACGAGTGCTAAATAACACGCAAACTAGGTATGTGATTTCGTGTCTATTTCCTCAAACTACCTACTATACTATTGATTTATTTGTTTCAATACTTTATGAATCAGTTACAACGCATCGTACCCCTACTCAGTGCTTAAATTTTTATCATAGTCAACATTATTATTTTTTAACTACCTATTTCTAGTATCATAGAAAAAAAACATTCGCAGAAGATTTAACTGAAGGAAAATTCAGTTATCCTATTGTTCGTGCCATTAACGATTATCCTGATGACAACCAAGTGATGAATATTCTCTCACAACATACCTCAAATTCATCATTAAAACTTTATTGTGTTAAACATTTGTTAGAGTTGGGTGCATTAGAACAAACTGTATTGAAGTTAGCTAAGTTGGAAGAAAGGTATGTATATATGTGCAGCCATCCTTAGTCGATGCTTCACATCTAAGTTTTGTTGTTCTTAATTTTTTTTTGATTGGTAATTTTTCACACCATATGTTCCGTAAGTGCCACAACGAAAGGTCTCTAACCAATGGTCAATATATTATCAAAACCTATCATCGATAGTCCTTGGTCCTGATGTGTATGTTTAAAAGGGAAGGTAGCATACGCCACTATTACAACAGTAGTCATAAGAAGGCATAAAAGACCAAAATGTTTTCAATCAATATTTTGTGTTAAGTAATCATAAAAAAATCTACTCATCTAACAAAACCACGGTCTAAAACAACTTTCATACTGTCATAAAATTTTAACAACTTAGTTATTTGATTTCCCATTTGAATGTGTGATTGAGCTACAACATGATATTTAGACTCAACTCTTTCATCGTTCAACAAAATAAAATATTTGGTTAAGAAACAAAATGAACTCGCTTCATCATTTCTTTAGCACAGATACTTGGTCTATTGCGTTCGTGTCAAGTTTTACTGTAAGTTTATAAAGTATCAGTTTCCCCTTTTATAACAGAATTGGTAACGTTATTTGGCACATTTTACAATATGATGGAAAATCAGTTTTGGGTATGATCCAAACAAACTATTTGATTTATCACTCGATCATTGAGATAAACCAGTTTTATTGATGAGAATTTGATAAGGTCTTCAGAATTTGTGTTTATCGTCACAGATACCATAATATTTCGTTGACTTGTCTAAAACAATATAAATTCAGCAGCTCCAACGTTCTATAGTTCCGGCAATTCATGTTGGTCATATAATATACATTAGGTAATGTGCCGAGTTCACTAGTTAACTGAGTCGAACGTTAATTTCAAAACTAGATACAGTTTTTAGGTGTTCACAGATCCTGTCATCGTAGTTAACAGTGTCCTAAGTTTTATCTAAAACTCTATATGATACTACTTGTGGGCTCTAATGAGATTCAGCAACCCTGTTGAGTATTAATCGAGCTAACAGTTCACTAAAGTTGAACGATTGACATGGGTTGCATAGGGCTAAGCAGAACTGCGTTCTTTTTCTCGTTATTTGAATCACCAATGCCCAAAACTCCTGATGTTTTCTGCAAAATTGCTTTAAATGCTTTCGACGAGAATACCATTAAGTATTTTGTTTGTACTGCAAAATTCAGTTTATTATAGTCGGCGTTATTATATTGTTGTGGTCTTCAGTCTAGTTCAGTCACGTTGCAGGTTTCCTAACGCTTGCCCGACCAACCATACAAAGTAAAAACAATAAGAATGGATAGGAAGCTGTATATTGAAAGTGAATAATTATGTGCAAAAATTATGCATATACATGTTATTACACTGACCCAAACAAGATATGTGAACGGTTACCTTGGATAATTCACTTACCAATAAATCACCCATACTTACATAGCCTACCTTCCATGTGAGGTTGCGACCAAGACGCAGTATATTTGGCTTTTCAGCAACCTAAAATCTGCCTGGAATCGTCCTGGCCATCATAAACTCACCCGTATGACATTTTGACAGTTAGAATTTTGTACCAGTTTACTAAATGTAGTTCCTTTATGAAAAGTTGCATTTAATGGGTACTGAATTTAGTGTCGTAAGAGCTGTTTATCTTGTTCACATGTATAAAACATCTTAGTGGATGCTTTTTGGTTCGTGTTTAAGTTAGGAAATGAATTTAATGAAAAAATATTTTTACAGTATGTAGCTACATTAGAGTTTGTTTTATCATGATTCTTGTCTATAGAAGCTCTAATGCGAAGTATCCGAATTAAGAGTATAAATCAATATCGTGTTCAAGCTGGAAAACAATAAAAGTCTGTGAGTATCGAAACTGTAAAATCTTAAGAAATTCTGGGGCATACGTCAAGTGCAAAATAACTAAATTCCAAAGAATGATCAATCGACACAACAGTAAAAACAATCGACCACTCAGATTAAATTCATCAACTGTACTGAAAAGGAATCGATAAAAACTGTTGTTTTTGTAAAATAAGGAATACAATCGTTAGGTACATGGTGTCCAGTAATCCTCGTACAAATCGAATACTCTGTTTTCATTTTATTTCATGATATAAGAGGAGCTAAATAGAGTAGGTAACGAAAGTGATCAATTTGCATAGCTTAAAAGAATATCTCATTTCGTTTATCCGTATCCTAGATGACACCTACTGAAATCGCTTATTCTTCATAAATCCACATTCATCTTTTGAATAATCTCTCTTCAATGAATTCTTTTTTCTGTAGATGCAGTCAGTTAATTGTGAAGTATGGCAATAATCCCTTGCTTTCTGAGGTAATCCAAAAACTAACTGACCTACATCGTACACCTGATGGTCATTTACGGTTTATTACACCAAGGGATCTTAACTATGACTCATTCGATCACAATGAGATATCTATTGCTAGCGGTCATATTAATCCTATTCCTAAATGAGAGATACAGTAATAATGATAGTGGATGTGAAGTATATAAAAATTTAACAAATTAACTACACTTCGTTTATTTCCAATTGAGTGCGGGAATGACCGATCTATTTAACGAAATTTATTTGCAACACTTATAATTAAATATGTGCATCAGTAAAATATATTCCACGATATCTTTTGTTATACTACACTGATAGATTTGTTTCGTTTCAGTCTTGTGTTTACATAATTCTTTTGAAACTGTGATGATCATTTCCACCTCTGTATCATTTTCTCTATCTCTTTGCTCTGTATTTTATTCTTTACATTTTTATATATTTGATCTCTTTCCTTTAATTTATGTAAACAGTGTTCTTCTGTATGTTTGTTTTGTAAATTTCGAAACAATTTATTTATAATAACGAAACCTTTATTGAAATTTTGCTGTTATCTACTTCTCTAGTCTAATATTCTAATTTTTGTGTTGTAATCTGACCAGTTCTCTGTCATATATCTGCGTAATTCTTTTTTAATACAGTCCGATAGTTTCACATATATGCTTCAATTAAAAAGCTACTAAATTTCGGGTGTTGTGTTCAAGCCGGTGACAATGTGAAGGAAGTTTCAATCGATTGCATAACATTTGTGTATCATCGCTACGGTTTTGAAGGAAACTTGTTGGAGTTATGATTGATCTATAATATAGCATCACTATCAGACCGTAGTCTTTTTTCGCTTAGTAAATGAAAATAAACCTGATAACTCAGTTACATTAACATTTATTTTACGGTAGAATTTGATGTATCAATCTGGTAATTTGTACATTAATTGTAAGTTTATACAATTGATCGATCCCTGAGTAGTGACCAGTGATTAGATATTATTATAATACTCAGTTTTCCTGTCTACGCCGACTGAGACGTTAGTTTACCTTAGACGAATACTACACTAGGTACCCTCTCAATATCTATTTTACAGGACTTCATCAAATCATATCAAGAACACATTATTTGTCTGACTAGAACGTAAGTATATTTCCACCGGAAACCAATAATGATAAGGATGGGAAAATATATAACTCATCTAATACCTGTCAGAATATTTGCTAGTCTAACCGAGCAAACAACCAATCATTTTTTTCGCCCACACCTCAGATACTGTCGATCAAGTTGCAATCTACCCGCTACTCTGATTCGACATCGTGCTTCATGTCAGCTGGAGGTAGTTGACACCAAGCCCAAAATCTTTCATGATTAACTAGCTTATAATTTTAAGATAGTACGATGCACAACAGATATTTGATAGTTTTTTACTGTTCTTTTTATTATCTGCAGCTTTACAGAAAGTGACTAATGAATGAAACAAATTCAGAGGACGAAGATGGGAGATTGGATACAAATCTATCGGACTCTTTCGATGACAAACATGTAATTTTTCGTGCATAATTTCTTAAGCGTTTTGACTTCATTGGGAGTATCTTATGCGATTTTCTATACGTTAAACTTATGAGGTTAAAATGATCTCATGTTATTGAATCCAGTTTAATGCAATATGTATATTTACAAAAGTGAATAGTTATGCACAAAGAAATGTTTACTTATGTTCACTCCAGGACTCAAACCCAGTACATTTTATTCTAAACATAAGGATAACTCAGATCCTTCCTAATAAATACCTATCTTACTGTTAATCGTTAGGATATATCGAAGTGTATAATCAACACTTGCCTACCTACAATCGACACTAGTTTTTTAATTATTCTACGTAAGTTTGAGTCACATTTACTACAGGCTTATGATTATTTAGTCGGATAAACGCAAATCTACACTGGTACACTGTTAGCATTAAAAAAATCTACCATTCAACTAATCAACCAATCTTTATGAAGTGAGCTGTGATGATTTCGGTGAAATTCTTCTCAAGCTTCTCATAAGTATGTGAACAGTGATTTAGTGGTTCAGTCCTCAATCCTGGTAGTAATATCTAGTATTGTAGCGCTTTCTATATACATGAAACAATAAAGATTTAGTTAGATTTATAATCGTATTGTGAACTGGCGACAGATCGTTACAAGCTGTTATTTGAACTTATCCGATTTTTGTATATGTATTTGCAACGTTATTGGTTCTATTTTGTGTTAATATCCAACTAATGTTGATCTTTAATTTATGTACACTTTTATAAACAGATGTATGTCTATTTCTCCGTGTCTACACTACTTTGTCTGTTCTTATATGTAAACTGATCCATACTTAACTAAATGTCTTTTGGCCAATACTAAACAAAGGCTACTCCGTGTTTATCGTTCATACAGTTTCTCTGGTAAATCATATCCATGAAAGTTACACATCCGCAACACTACTTTTATTCAACCTTTTAATTTCGCATTGTTTTAAAGGGATTGGTTACAAAAATATTTACGAAATTACCAAGCATACATATTTCATCGTTCATTATCTTTTGGAGTCAAAGTGATGAGTTCTTTAGCTACAAAACTATTACTAATCCTAGTTGAATCATTAAAAAGAACAACCTTTCCTCAGTTGTGCTGATAGTGTCTTTTAGCAGTGATCAGCTATTAGGATTGACGGTTATTTGTCATATTTTTCACATTTTTTGCTTATTTCTCAATTCAGTAGTCGTTTGTATTTTTTATTCTTAGGATAATTTTAGATTATTTAAAGCGTATAAAGAAGGTCAGTTGGATTTGAACATTTTAAGTACACAGGAAGCAATTTCAGCTGCGACCGCCGCAACAGTTGATAATGCTACAATGTCATCAACATTAACATCAAAAAACGGTCAAAAAGATGAGACTTCTTCAAATCAAGGTATGCCGAAATCTTGGTGTGCGCCTCAGTCATCATCTAGTGAAACAAACCAATCAGTATCTCCTAACAAACAGTTTACTTTGGGTTCACTTTTGAAACCTAACTTGATAAGTGATATTGCTAAACCTGTTTGTGAATCTCAGCTGCCATCTCTATCACGCGTTCTTGTCTCATCTGCTAACTTAGCGGAAGAAAACAAGAGGTAATTTCAATTGTAACTAAGTAGATAAACCATAGGACTGAATTCTTTTATTTTCATTTTTGCATTAAATTCTACACTTAAACTCTCTCTCATAGTAGTTTGGTTTCAGCTTATATCAAGAGTAGTTTTAGAAATTATGCAACTGACATGTCCGTAACGAAACCAATAACCAGTTTTGTTATAATTTAAACATCCACCACTGATTTAATCTAACATAATACATACAGTCTTTACTTGACTGCCAGTCGATGAGTACTTTGACTTCTATCGGAGTATGATAGTTACCTGTAGTTTGTGCATCTGTCGCATTGAAAACCACTGTTCGGATTGTGTATATTTTATTATTCCTTCTTTGAATCATATGATATTCATGTATATTGATTGTAACGTATTGAAGGCTAAATTGTGTCTTTTTAAATTATAGATTTGCACAGATTAGCTTGATATTATCTATAATCATATAAAATATGCAGCGTTCCATTTACTTTATACATTCATTCATCTGAGTTTGTAGAAATATAAAATCCCGATACAACAATGAGAATACGGAGTTGCTCTATAGAAATTTATAAAAGGGACTTATTACTTTAAGAATTTAAGTCTTAGTAAATTCGCAATTTAATTAGTTTTGGTTATTCAAAGAATTATTCATTAAACAAAAAGACTTTATAGTGCAGAAAATCTTCTTTCCTATGATCATTGTAACTTCTAGAGCATGTTATATTAGCCGAATAAAGTGCACTTGCCAAACACATGTTTAGGAACTATCCTTAATCGGAATCTTAGCTAATCCAAAGCTGAATGCTTGAGCACGGTTAACTGTAGTCACTTATCATCACGGGGATCATCGTTTAGGATTGTCTGCCGACTAAAAGTTTGAATCAGAAATTTGTGAATGATTAAAACTATATCAATCTCAATGAAGTGATTTAAATAAATGAATAAACTAAGACTTTCTTTGTAACGATAATAAACTTATAATCAAATAATATAATGATAAAATGAAGTTCAATATCATACAACATATCAACTAAGTGCATGTCGAATAGTCTGTTGATAAATTAAATTATTTTAATGCGAAAAATTCATAATCCAGATAAATGTTTAAGACTGCTTGACATCCTTTGGGCTTGGTGGTCTAATTGTAAAAGTATAGTTGTTGTTCTAGGCAATATTATCAGCGCTTATTTCACATCGAATCTGTGTGCTCAAAAAACACAGTCCAAACAACAATTGTTTACATATTTATATGATAATTAAAAAGTATTTAATAAGGATAATAAAGGACAAATAACAGGGTTATACTTTATATAAAAATAAACTGAATATTATCAGGTTGCTTCTAATATAAGTACAATTAGTTTGAATTCCCCTATAACTAAAGCCTTAGAAAAAATCGAAAAATTTTTTGGTTATTTGTATAGAGCATTTATTGAAGTGCCTGTTCTCAAATTAATCCCATAACGTCTTTTTATTATATCAGAAGGGTTTTGTGAAGATTTTAGAAATTCCACTGGTTGAAATCATGAGTCAATCGAAGCTAGATCACCATGGAAAACCTGCAAGCACTGGATAGCCGTTTCGTCGTCCTAGTATGGGACTCCTCAGCAGTGCACATTCGTTATCTCGCCCTCCACGAGATTGGAACCCAGAACCTATCAGTCTCGCGCGCGTACGGTGGCGCAACTTCGTGGATTGGTTAAAGTTAGACATTAACACCATTGGATGCTGGCTCAGTGGTCTAAAGATTAAGCACTCGCGCACGAGACTAATAGGTCATGGGTTCCAATCTCGCGGGGGCGCGATCGTGGATGCGCATTGCTGAGGAGTTCCATACTAGGACGAAACGGCTGTCTATTGCTTCCAGGTTTTCCATGGTGGTCTAGCTTCAATTGACTCATGATTTCAACCAGTGAAATTTTTATTATATGTTCAGCAATAAAATGAGATAGTTGTATGCCATCAGCTGTCACCATACGGATATCATGTAAATATATGGTATAACATTTTAATTAAGTTGTAATCTAACACTTTCATACACATAAATTTACACTCTTTAATATTATTATTTCATGTCGACAATGTTTTTCTATTTTTTGGAGTTGTATTCTTTGAGCTGGATGGTTTAATCGTGATGCTTTCAATATCTTTCTAGACAACATCATGAGTACATAGTTAACCTCACTGTCTTGCTCAGAAAACATTATCTCCGAAATTCTCATCCCAAGCTACAAATATTCTGTATCATCTCAGTTTTCTGTTACGGGGAAAATTGATTACTATAATTGCATAAATGATAATGTGTAACGATATTTTCTCCTTTCATTCACTATTCACTCCATTCCATTTTCTTCGATTTACGTTAGTATTTCTGTAATTTGTTACTGATTAATGTAAATGTGATTAATGATGAATAATTCATACAGTTCCATAATTATTACATTCACACATTTGTAGAATACAAACAGGACCAATTTTAACTTCTGGAAATGCTATCCTTGTGAATCAGCGTCAGGTGATTTTAAAACTATGATGTTATTTTCATTATGTTATGGGTTGTTTCATTATCCATCTAAGTTGACTGCTGTTTTCCTCTCTCGTATTCTTCATTAACTTTCAGTACGGATTCTTATTTATTTTGAGACGTTATAGATATATTATTTTTATTACTAACAATCTAGTTAATACTCAGCTTATTTGAGATTATCAAGTGAAATGTCGATAATAATACGTATAAACTCAAGCACAATGAATAGTTCGGGCCAAACTGGAAGCCAAATATAATTCGCTTATGTCTGTATCTTAAAATTGACAGATATATCTTTGATGCGATTACACAATTAATGTAACATGGTATGTAAGCTAAATTCCCGACCGTTGTTGCTACCTTGACGTGGTGGTCGGGCTTGCTTATCGTGACGAAACAACCGAGCTATACTGGCTGGAACAATCATTTTTTAATATCCTACCATGCCAAACAGGTCTGCTGAAGAGCGATAAGACTAAAAGCAACAAACCCAACGTCTGAAGGCGAAGTCGTACTGCTGACTGTACAGAGGTGTGACAGCAGTAAGGTGTCCCCTCCAGACAACTAGCATAACGGCGATGCTGCCTTTCCACAAGGAGAGGTGGGGTTAGTAAAGGTCGACCCTAAAAATGCACACCTCGCCTTTTCCCACGGATATCTGTCTCCGGTTGCAAGGTCCCAACAAGTACGGAGCTAACACGAAAACTGCTCACAAAAAGTCGTGTGTGACCGGCCTCAAGCAGCTGTCCTTTGGGCACTGTGGTCACGCTCTCGGGTCACCAAGACCACCTCTAATCCGATTTCCTTTCCAGGTACCTCCAGAAGAACCCTTGCACGATGTGGGCGACCGGGAAGTGATAACCGCCCTCATACCTCTAACAGCACTTAAGACCACTGTGATGTAAGCTAAATTAAAAGAAACAGCTGCTTATGATGCAGATTGTATCTCAGTCAGTCAGTCAGTCAGTCAGTGGTATCCGAAATAATAATAATTCGTTGATGAGACTTGATGTTATTCAGGGCACAATCAAAAAGTATTTGTGATATTGTTGTAACCTCTTTTTCTTCTTACCGTTAATGACCCAGCTATTCCTATTGCTTAGTATTCTCGGACACCGATTCACTCGACAAGTCCCCAAATCAGAACACGGTTGAACAGGAAAAAGATTATATTCCAAATAGCAAGTCAGAAGCACAATAGGGGAAAACGTCGGTATATTTATAGTTTTTACATAAGAAGATTCCAGAGTATTCTCCGACTATCGACTAGTGCTGATTGGATAAGAATCAGCCAATCAGCGTGCACCAAAACAATCATGCATTGAGCATGCTTTAATCTAGTCTATGTCCCGCTAACACCTCTCCTCTGAGCAGATTCGTAGGATCTGGTGCTAGGGTCCAACTGCAACTGAGTGACTGGCTTGTGCTTTTGATTAGTCCATCGTCTAGGCAATAGAGAAGTATCACTCTTTTCTTGCACAGAAACTGACGTGTCTATTCCCGGTGTTTTGATTTCAAAGGTGTCTAGCAGAACATCAAGAGGTAATCGATATTGAATGTTGTTGCTGTCTATCGAAGTTGCTTTCAATTGCTTAGCATGACGTACCCAAACTTCCGAGCCAACTGACACCTCGTAAACCACACTCCCCTTCTTTCTCAAGATCCGACCAGCTTTCCATGTAGGATGTTCCCCACGATAGTCCATAGCAAGTACTTTTTGTCCTACCGTGAACAATCGTCTTTGTGCCCCATGATGTCGGTGGAACTGATTCTCCATCGATAGGTTTCGTTGGGGTTCAATAGCTGGCGTAGGACGGATGACATCGAAATGTGTTCGTATTTTTCTTTTCGGTTTTCCTAGTAACCTATCACCTGTCTTCTTTGGAAGTACTGGGGTGTCCAATGATGAACGCGATACGTTACAGACACTGTTAATTGGTACATCCATTATTCCAAGTTTGTCTTACATATCTAGACCAAGAAGATCAAGTTTCGGCCGTTCTGTTAGGTAACATACTCCTGTACAGTTAGTTCCATTGAAGGAAAATTCACACTGTAATTCACCAACCAGTTTTAGCACACCACCTGATGCGTTTTTAGCCGTTTTCTTAGATGGCTTCATTGGCGGTTTACCCAGCAAGTTATACGTTTCTCTAGACACTAACGTGATATCTGATGCCGTGTCAATTTGAAGACGAGCTGATATGCCGTTTATCTGGATGGTAACGTACTTTCTCCGAATGTCATAGTTTGTTTGAAAAGCAGCTACCAGAGAAAGAGATTTAGACTCGGCTGATTTCACATGTCGAGGACGTTTATGCTTCTTCTTAGGCTGAGACGTACGCTTCGGTGGACAATGACCTTCTTTATGTCCACGTTTGTTGCACTCCTGAAATTTATGCTTCTTGAATGGACAGAATCGGGCATAATGGCAATCACCGCATAACCAGCACGCAGTCCTTGGTTTGTTACGAGTTGTTACCGGCTTCTGAACTTTTAACCTAGTAATAGCATTGACACTACCGCAGGTTAAATTAGGATTTACCTGTTCAATCAACTCGTTGTCGTGTCTGATGCTTTGTAGACGCTTACACTCATCTGTCAATGTTCTGAGTGTGACGTTTGGGTCTTGATCCAGTCGAGCTAAAAGTCTGATCCTGATCTCAGCATCTTGTGGTGACTGAAGAGCTTTGATGAATATTAAGCATTTAAATTGGTCATCAGTCAACGAGCGTAACTTGAAACGTTCACATTCTCTGTTGACAATGTCTGTTAGAACACCATATTCATCAGCTTCGCGTTTCACCAAATTTAGACACCGATATCGAATACTAGACAACGAGGATGACTCGCCGAATATCTCTGACAACTGAAATACCGTCTCCTCGAAACTGAGCTCTCGAGGTAACTTTGGCAATATATGGTCAGCAAAACGTGCATGTTCATTGCTTCCCAACTTACGTACCAACAATCGGGTCTTCCACGCATCGTCTTGGTTACAGAATTCTGTTCTAAATGTATCTTCCCAACGTTTGAACCACGTGAGAAAAGTATTTCCACTTTCGGGATCATAGATGAATTCTGGGATGCTGCTAGCAACTGCATCACAAGACGTACTTGAAATAGCATGTGAACTCGAGCTGTGAATGTTGAGCTGTTGAGTCAGGGTCTCTAACAACCGCATTTGTGCATCAAGTTGTGCTTGCTGTTGTTGTAGTATTCGGTTAAGCTGGTCATCTGATATGGACATCTTGATTTTGTTTTCCTTTTTCCTCGTCGCCACTGTTAAATTCTCTCTTTCACGGTTATAACCTAGCTCTTCCTATTGCTTAGTATTCTCGGACACCGATTCACTCGACAAGTCCCCAAATCAGAACACGGTTGAACAGGAAAAAGATTATATTCCAAATAGCAAGTCAGAAGCACAATAGGGGAAAACGTCGGTATATTTATAGTTTTTACATAAGAAGATTCCAGAGTATTCTCCGACTATCGACTAGTGCTGATTGGATAAGAATCAGCCAATCAGCGTGCACCAAAACAATCATGCATTGAGCATGCTTTAATCTAGTCTATGTCCCGCTAACAGATATCTTTCAAGATCCTCTGTACATTACGGCCTAAATGATGTAGAAAAATTATCCAGGTAATCGTTTGTAAACGTTATTTAATCCACCCTATAATTGGTATCCACATTAATAATGTTTAGGTAGTGTAGTCACGACTAAAAGTATATGCCTTGCAAAAGCTCTGAATGTAAAATGAACTGAATTCATGTGAACAAGCTTTAGTATCTCACCCATATTGATTTTTTGTACCGGTGAATCTACTGTTCAACTTAATGAGCTTAGCAATCATATATATGTATTCTATTGTGTTTGAGTTTTATTTAAATAATTAATTCGTATCACCTTCATTCTGATTGGGCAAAAGGCTACTCAAGGTCATTAGAAAAGTTTAATTTTACGATTTTTTGTCTTGTTCATCAGAAATTCCTATTATTTTGACCTTTTATTATTGTGAATTGTTTATCTAGAGAGGTAATCCTGTTTTAAAACAGATACGTAATGTTGCCTGGGAGTATGCAGATGTTGATCCGGATTTTGTTGTAGGAAGAAATAATTGTATATATTTTCTAAGGTTAGTTGCCTTATGTTTGTTTTATCAACTCAGAGAGATATTTCGATGTTCATATTAAAGTTGACCAGAAAATTGAGATTTGATAGAACTATTTGTTTAGAGCTAGTCAACTATAAAACGATTTATATGGTTTGGAAATGGCGTCTTTATGCGTATAACTCAGCGATTATCGTTGCAGAATAAAAAAACAGTGAATGCTGTTTACGAGCTCTGTAATTAAAACCAGATAAATCCCGAGAACATAAAGTCATAGCCAAAGGACTTATGACTCCTACTTCATGTCAATGATATTTATGTGACTCGTTATCACCATTGAGATATTCGTAACAATGCTGTTTTCAGAGTTATGGATGTTTACTTGACTGCGTACATGGGTAATTCTCATGCATGTTCTTATCGCTCCAATTGTCAAATTTTTAAGTGACTGATAAATACACTGAAAATATACATGTTAGACAAGGACAGCCACTATCATAAATATTATCAAATTGAGTGTGTTGAAAACGTCCATTATCGCTTTAGATTATTCCAAAGCTTTATAAGATCCGTTAATCCTGATAACACATAGAAAAATTACACGTAAAAAAACAAGAAAGGATTCACTTTGAACAGAAGAGTGTTTCATTTTGATGAATAATGACGAAAAATATAATCCAGTAAATTATGCATGTCATAACGCAAATATAGTAATAAATTTAGTGAGCTGTATTATTGGTGTATAAATTAGTTAGCGTAGTTGAAATAAAACTTATGTAGTTGGATTCGTAGTATGCTGCGTTGAGTTTGGAAAAACAAATATAAACGCTCTAGTTTATAAAATGGCCTGTGTTGACTACATTGTTTTCTTTCATCAGTGCTCAACAATTTGTAGTAGCCCATCTGGCTCCATAATTTGGTGTTTTAGATTAAATCTATTCCAGATTAATTTTGTACATTATCGACTAGACTCGTTGTTTGATTAGGCTTGCTTCAACAGTGCGGTGTATTTCACACTTACTTATCTAAGACAAGTCGTAAGGGCCTATGAATGGTAAAAGTAGGAAATTGGCCCCTCAGTCATATCGGAGCGTAAACTTCTAAATAAGTTTATATAGGTTGAAATAGTTACTAAGATTTATCATGCCTCAAATTCAAGGTTAATATTGCCGGTCAAACCGTTTAGTTGATCAAATTAAACTAAATGCTATTGACAGCCTCTAAACAAAAAGAATCAACGAATTAGAATAACGACAGCAACCATTAAATTTATGCGCGATTTTACAAATGAAATTACGTACAGCTTCGTTGTGAATACCATTTTATTGACGATATTTCGCGTCTAGGCAAGTTTAAATCTAATCTAATGGTAAATCACTGTTAAGAAAACGCATTTCACGTAGCTGTATTCAAAAAATGACATTCAGAGAAGACGTGAAGTCCAGAGATGAGAGTGTACTAAGAATACAAAAAAGGAAAAACAAAGACGAAGCCCTTCAAAAACAGTCAGTGTGAATATAAACAGTGCACTAAATTGTCGGGTTTTCACCAGCCCATGAAAATTAGTCCGGAATTTCCCCATTGCAGGGTGAATGTATCAAAATTAACGCCATATTGTGTACTTTCCCCCGAAATTAATGCCAGGTTGTCTAACTTTACATTACATTTAGACTAAGTAGTTCGTCTGTTCTAAGATGCGTCTATGGATCAATTGCACGTCAAATAGTAGACTTTTCTCATAATTTATATATTTTCCGATGATATTAAAAGATTAGTGTACTATCACCTACATACCTCAGAATTTCGGCTTTAATTACCTAGGGCAACCAAATTTTCTATACAGTCAAAATGATTTTAAAAAAAATGATTTATGTGAGAACAATTTATCAACACGTTCTGATAAACTTCGTCTTCTCATTGCATTAACCTAACATGTTTACATTAACGATTGCCGATAATATCTAGATATACGTAGCAATTAAACATTAACGTTTTAACTGACAGGGATGATTATCTTCAAATCTAATCTTGAAAAAAGTAAAATGTACTTAACTTGAAGTTTATTAATCATACATAATTACTAAGAATGCCTCTTCGTTCAAACAAAATACCAACTCCTTTGTCTAGTTTTAAAATCCGTCCAAACAAAAATTAGATTCGCTTAAGACTTTGCTATATTAATCCCATGTTAAATCGAATAACGAATTTCCGATGAATTAAATTATGAGTCACATTAATTTCTGTTTCTCGTAAATATTGTTTGATAATTGCAACTAGTATTTGTGTTTGCTCTACGACATTATTTGTACTGCCATGTAGTCAGTCAGTAACAACGTAGAACTTCATACGTACGTACATCAGTTCAAGTTGCCATACCACATTAGCACAGAGATACAGTTGTCGATTCAAATACCATAGTGGTAGATGTAGTGAAATTATAAGCTGTAATCAGAAAAATTAGGGTTTAAAGATGTTATTCAAGGAGTATAATCCAGTGAAATAAATTTGGAAAGAGAAAAAAGAAAGGGACATGAAGTATTCAGAAGATTAGAATTTGGGAGAACACAAAGAGTGGATGCACCTGCGCCATCGCAAACGATTTTGAGCTATGTCATTCAGGGTCTCTAACCATCGGTCGCCATCATCTCGCGGTCCCCAACCGGCTAGTCTACACCTGCCAATATGACTCAGTCTACTTGTCAGTGAATTCACGGACTTGTGCCATGTTTTGGTCTGGTCACCCCTAGCTTTCTTCCAATCTACTCCTACACCATTGATTATTACACGTCGGAGCAGTTGGTCGTTGGGCATACGTAACATGTGTCCCAGCCATCTCAACTGCTATGTTGTACCCATCAGTTTTCAAAATATTTCATTGTATAAGTAATTTTTTCCAGCTTTATAGCTGTTTCACAGTTAGTGAGGTTGAACGAATCTCTCTCCAACTACACAAGCCACTTAAAGCGTAACTACTTAACGGGAACACGAATTTAGATATGTTGTTTTCGCAGTTATACTTCCATTCCTTTGCATACTCTTTTAATGTATATTTAACTTGGAATTAACATATGGGTTCACAATAGCGACTGAAACATACATTAACGTTTCTTTTTAAACGAATGATATGATACATACCGAGTATGATTTATCAGTGCCGTTTTTATAATATCACTTGAATATTATTCTACAAACAATAACTTTGTGCTATGTAGGGAATTACCAATCACTTGAGTACTACTTTTCTATAGAAACTCACTAAAACATGCTTGTACTCAGTTATTCTATATTCATTAATTTTTTCGTCGGCTTCACAAACATTCTGCATTCGTCTTTAAGGGGTTGATTAAACTGCCATTCATATACGTATATTATAGACATGTCAAATTTGATTGTTCCCATTATTTTTTTGTTCATACATACGCAGTGCTTACAATTTTTGTTTACCTAAATATGGTATTTTAGTGTTATATCCATTTTATTTTTTATTCATTTCTTTTCTGCGTATCATATTGCGCGTATAAATAGTATAAATTGTGCACATCCCCTTTTTCTGCTTTAAATTGTTATTGTTTCAGATTCTGTTGGAGCACAGACATTCACTTTATTTTATTGACGCCTATTCTGCACGTTAAGATAATACTTTTTGAATGAAAGTTTGGGGTCTGTCTCGACATTTTAATTTTTGACTTACGGTCTTTTGATAAACTTTATTGGATAAAAGTTTTCGACTAAGATTCTTTAAACAATTTCCACCTAATTATCGGGTGCATCTTCGAAATATAGTCTGGTTACTCTCAAGAACAGTGTTATTACAAGACTTCTTTTAAGCTGTTAAAATACACATATTACCCTGTTTAGGGAAGGCTTATAGTAAGTAGAATATGCAACCGGATAAACTTCATTTCTCGTGATCACTAAATGCAAGAAATTCATTTCATTTTGTAGTTTATGATCACTTATGAATTTTAAAATTAGGTAATTAGAAATTGAGGCATCTAAATCTTTGATCAGGATAACTTGTTATCATGTATCAAAATGGAAAATCTCAGCTTTTAGTTCTAAATATATTCCTATACTATGGAATTATCTCTACTAAATATTATTACATTTGAAAGATAAACTATTATCTCAACGATGTGATGGAATAAACGCATCTAGTAACTTGTTTCTGTTTCAATTTTGTTTAGCTTACGTTATCATAATTTAAATCCTGAATATATATTTGAACGTTTACGTCAAACAAAACAACATTATCAATTATCTGTACTTCTTGTTCAAGTGGATGTAGTAAGTTTATTAAGTTTACTACAATTAAAGAAAACAGTTTTTTTTCAAGGTATGTGGGAAATAAAGTTATATCTGCGACTAAATTGAAGTTTTTAATTAACAGGTTTATTAATTATTTAGTATAATGTTTCCTTTATTGAAATTGCTAAAATCACAAACTGTTATCATTTACTTACTAGGTAGTTAATCCAGAGTTTCGGACATAGGTTTTATTTTTGTTGACAATTATTATCAAGAGATATCCTTGACCTTGTATGTAATTATGATCAATTTAATTGTAATGAGTCCGAAACCGAGATATTCGACCGCAAAATCGACTACGAATCCTAATTTCTTGGTCTTGATGATATGAGTAATATACGATGTGATATTTAGGCCTTTTGTGTTTATCATATTGTCTCTGTTAATGGATCATGATTCTTTCAAGTCTTTTTTACTATTCACAAGTATGCTATTCATTTAATAATTGTTACTCTTATGATAGAGATCATCAATCATAAGATGCTTTTACCGTAATTTTAAGTCCTTCTTTAAGGGTTCGTTTATTTAAGGAGCTTTAACCTTCAGCTACTGGGTTTCAGGCTTGAATCCCTATCTACTTCAGTTCGGAGTGTTGAGTGTCACTGGTATCCTTCACACAAAAATTTGACTCAAAGCTAAGTTCAGAAACCTATGTAAGACTAATTGCATTCTGTACTTGTAACATTTATTTATCGTCGTATTCAGAGGATTCTATTATTGTCTGTCATTTACCGTAAATTAGTATTAAAAAAGATACCTCACATGAATCCAGTCAGTAAGCTACTAGATGTGAATAGTTGCTACAGAACAAAACCTAACGAAGCCAAAACGAGTGTCTTGGTAGATTCCAAAAGTTTAAACCTTTGTTTCTTAATCTGATTGATTAAACATAAATTACTGCTAATTTGGCCACTCATTCCAGAATGAATAGGTCATAGTCAACGTAGAGCCTTACTTATGTGTGTTAGCCGAATTCTCTAACATTAACTCAAGATGAAATTAAGATGAGTTGTAAACGAAGTAAAATAATATATTACCAATGATAATGAGGAATACACACTGAGAATATAGTTTTTAAAGGCATGGTAATAAACTTTAGAGATCCTGGCAACTTAAAAAAACCATTGATCTCGGAAAAATGCTGGAAGTGTCAGTTGTTCGTTTTGTAACTTTTTCGAAAGTCGTAGGTTAGAGAAAGTTTGAAAGCTAACTAGTAAACCCATTTTACAAGAAATAAATTTTTCTCACGTATTTTATGTAAATGCATATTGTAATCAGGTTAGCTTCGTTCTTCACATCAGTTTGTATCAGATAAACGATTGATTATTTGATAATAAAATTATTTTATAAGCTTCATTTAAAATCAAATATTTTCATTACTCAATGTTGTTTAGAGTCAATCAACCTAAATTCGGATAATTTTTACAGTCTGTCTCGTTAGTTTGAATGCTCTAGTTTTTATCAAATCCATCAAAACCAAATAAAACATATTCACTTCATTTCAGCCAGATCCATACTATCCTTTAAAAGAGTTGTGTAAAATTTGTTGGACTGAAAGATTAACCTTGATGTTGGCTTGGAAGTAAGTGTATGCGTTTTCATCTTTGTAATTTATTAATGAAATCAATGTCGAAATGATTTCGTATGATAAACTTTGCCTGGAAGTAGTCGACGAAAAATCCTGAATATAGGTTTCGTGCTCGTCAGCGAATCATTTTTTCTGGTTGGCCCGGGACAGAGTGCGTTGGAAAATGCTGGTCGGCGGCCTATGCTCCATCGGGAGCAACAGGTGTAAGTAAGTAAGCTCGTCAGCGAAACGTACCTTCAATCTTAAGGAAATTTGCTCCCCACGTGTTTCGTACTCGCATCACCCATCTTCACGGCCTGAAACGTTAGTACTGAATTTTTTGAGCCTCTGCTGACCAGTTAGAATGAGATATTTTTAATAGATTGATCACTAAATGGTAAACCACTATTATGTTTATTTAACTACAAGTGCTGATCAAATTCGATCGATCGAATCGCAGCGTTGCCACTAGTCTAGATGATTTGACATTGGTCAATACTCAGTGATCAACCATTTATAAATAATGAATTTTATTCTTCTGTCAAAACATTTTGATTACATAGACATTCAAAATTGATACATTCTGTTTCGTTGTGGCTAATAAAAGGAATTATTTTGACTGATATATTTCTGGTTACACCCAAAAATGTAAAATAGGAATAGCTTGTTTTCTATGTGAGAGGGATACATGTTACAGAGGCTTTATAACTGATACCGTAACGTATATGCTGATATATAGTGATAATATTTAAAGAGCTTTTATACTCCAGTTTTTATGCTTTATTTGTAAATGGTCTCAACAATCATTCAGCATTGGGCTTACTAAAAGAATAGCAAGTGGATGACACCTCTTTTATAAATAGGTTACTAATTGTTCAAGAGCTGTGATAGACTGTCTATTTGGATCTGCAACGGTAAGTTACGGTGCTACGCTCCTTTGCAATTGATTAATATGCAAACACTTATCCTTTTCAACTGCCAAGTCATATATTACCTGACTCTTGCTCCCAGTCACAAGTTCCTCTGTCCATGCGCCGTACCTCAGTTTGTAATCTCGAACCAATGTTGGGGTCCTCAGTGTTACCCACAGTCCTTTTGGTAACATCACTTGTTGGTTTGTTTTCAATATGCAGTCCATAAGGACTTGCTTTCGCAATTTCCGATTTGGTAATGCGTCATGGGTTTTTGTTCTGTACACATTTGAAAAATACACAGTACCTCCCCCACCCAACTTTACCTGGGCCTTTTCGAATGTTTTAACAGATCTCTCTACTTTTCTGTTTGGTTGAGAGCTAATGTGGTGGTGAAGAGATGTAGATAATAGATTGTCAACTGAAGAACTTTCAAAAATGTTTAGAAGTAAACTGCGACCTCTTATCTGACAGCCCATTCTGAGAAAAGTCCCGGTCAGCGGAAGACTTTGTTAGTTCTTAGTGCTACCACGAGGAGAATTCCCAGTCATTTTGAGAACACATAAGCGAAAATCAGGCGAGTGATGTCATTGATTAGCCCGGCTCAATGTGCGTGCTCTGGATGATGGGTCTTCATGTTGTGGCCATAGGCCTGGTGGTACTCGACCGTCCAGTTTTACTGCTTGCCGAAAATTAGAGGCCATCCACGAATTTGCACAATCTGTTAGTTTTTAAACAGTCAGCAAGCCAAACTTTGAACAACGGACTTCATACGCTTAATGCCCGGGTGACTGCGGTAAAATTGATGTAGAATCTGAGAGAGAAGACGTCTAGGAACCACCATGTGGTCCAATTGTATGTCGCAGAAAGATCTACACTCTTTAATCTGGTTCCGAGAAACGTGCTTACTTAGAAAAAGTGGGGACCGAGGACGGTGTATTTATGGTAAAAATAGGCTTAATAATCAATAATTCTCAACAATGAAGCAGATAAAATCGTTAAAACTGACATTTTATGTGTGGCTTGAATGCTGTCTGGATCTAACTAGCAGCATACATAGGCTACAAGTACTAAACTGGCTCCGTCTGTTAGTGTCAGTTCCTCCAAAACGATTTGGCCTGAGTCCCCTATATGGTCAAACCGACGGTGTATAGTTCAGTTCTGAGTAATCGAGAGAGTAAAATTGGAGGTGCTGGGGATATTGAGTCCTTAAAGAAAACTTAATAGGAAGGAATTAAGTGAAAGATTATGCATTGATTTAAATGCGATTCCCAGTATAATATTTATTTGTAATAGTTCTCTGCGAAAATTGTTCAGTTTTGCAATCTTTTAACTGTGTATAATGGAATGAATTAGAATGTTAGTTTATCTTGATGGAACTTTTAGACATGCTTCGACTTCTGTCCCTAGTTAGTGGCCGTAGGAAAATTGGATAGGAAGCAGTATCATCCACTATCACTGAAGTTAGAAATTATTCGCGTTATGCACAGGAAAATCAAAATTGTTAATCGTCTTTTTTAATTTCAAAATATACCGTTTTTACGCACTTACAGTATGGAAGAAGCAGCAAGATATTTAGAAGCTTATAAAGCCTTGGAAAACAAACCTCCAGATAACTTAATGGTAGAGCCAGCCGCACAAACAGATCATATCGCACAAGTTACAGATTTCTTAACTTCCGTTCGACGTATCACAAAAGCTGATGCTGTTTCAGCGTTGAGAAAATTCGATGTAAGTGTGAATATCTTCTTAGTTTGTATTGTGTGTGTTGAGACTATAATTTGTGGACAACCTTCGAGCGACCTTGAGAATGTCCACATTACTGGGTTATGAACAAGTTTGAGGAATTAAAATTATGATTCACAGCCGATGGTTAGGGTAAGAAATTAGATTTAGGGTTTATAGTGCGAACTGGCATCAACTAAAATGTTAAAACGCTATTCAGCCGGTGGATGAATGAATTTCGCACCAAAATCCAAGACCTGTTATCCTAAATCTGATTGGTTTGTCCATAAAGTCTCACCTTGTTTGCTTGGTTTTTAATTGCTTGTGTAGTTGGCAAATTGTTAGCAGGAGGTGACATAAAATAGATATTACTGACTAATAGTTGATAAACAACTAAGCTGAGTAGCATATTGCTAGTGAAGTATTCAGTCAACTGTTTTCGCACTATACAACTCTAAAGGTTTACAATGAAAAATAACTTGAAAGAACGTTAATCCCATCAACATGTTCTTGAAAGAATTAAACGGAGCAGAACAACATACCATAACGTCTCTAATTATGGCAATAAGTGTTACGAATCTTTGAGTGTAATACACCTGGGTGATTTAGACCTACGATTTCCTGTTCATCATTTTTAACGATCTATAACAGATTTAGTTAAATTAAAATAGCTTAGATCCTGGTAATCCTAATAGTTATTTAAATATACTCTAACAAGCATCAAAGCATGTTAGTATTCAATTAAGGATGATGCGATAAAATATTTATTTCACTCATTATTATGCACAATGATACAATCCAGATTGTACGAAATAACAACTCAGAACATTTTCAACTTAATAATTGACTAGTATACATTTAATCAAGGCAGATGAGTTAAAACGAACATTTGGAGGTTTATAAAAACTGATTGGCTTTCGTATTCTGTTGATAAATGAATAATAAAATTAATAATAGTAGGTAAATACGTAAGTCATAAAATGTTTTTTAAATGAAAAATTTTAATTGTACATGTTGTGACTTTAAGGCCGGCTAGTTATCACGTGATTTATTCACCGATCGAAATACGACTTATTAACTCTTGTACTGTACTAAACCAATGACGTTCGACCGGTATGAGCAGCCTAGCGTCCTTATTGATCCTTTGCTTCCCTAGCCCGTCCAGTTGAGTCCAGAACACCAATAACAGCTCCCGCCATGCGAATCATTTATTTCAAACATGCTTGGTTTATATACCAGCCAAACAGACCGCATCGTACCATAAATTAGGAAATAACCTCTATACAAGATCAAGCCAAAAAGTGGATGTGAACGTGGGAGACGATAACCAATAAACTGAACATAATTTAAGAACAGTAAATCGTACAGTAATAATCTATAGGTCAAAATGAAGCTTATAATAAGAGGAATATAGATATACCTAATTTAGTTACTTAACGGTTGTACATTAAGAATATATATATATATATATATATATATATATATATATATATAAGTCCATTAATAGATCTCAGAGGTTTCTCGTAATTTGATCTTCACTAGGATATAACAGTACAAGAATGAGATAGTTTTTCTTATTCAATGTAAACTTTCAGACTGTAGCCGACATAATACGAGCTGATCAATCAACTTTGGAGAAGTGCCCTGGTTTCGGTCAGCTTAAAGTATGTTGAAATTTTCAAATAACTTTATGTTGAATAGATTTATAAAAGCTTTAAGGGGAGTTCATATTACGTAACTATAGGTCTTATTCATAACCTGAAGGCCGAGTGAACATTTCGCTCTTCAGATAATTCTGTAGTTGTAATACACTTATTGAACAAACCGTCAATCGTATGTTTCTACTTAGGTAAATAAGCACTGTGTACATCTTCAGTTCATTTAGTTTCCGATTAGTTTGTTATAAAATTTCACTAAAAGATGATGGTTGTTACCATCGTTAGCTGTGATTATTCTGTATTCTGTGCAGTTGCAGATTACTGAACATACTTTTGGAATTTCAACAATTGTGCATTTTCAGTTTGTTTGTGTGTTCAAGAATGCTTCATAGTTTCTTCAGTTGTTGATTCTCTTAGCGATGTTTTCGGAGTTTGCTTGTTGGTTATGATTTGTTGTAATAAGCTCTTTGTATTTCACGTTCGTGGTCCTTCTTAACTACATAATCCATTGTGAATGCTATATTGCGAATAAACCTAAGTGTTATTCGCGAATAAGTTGTACAGTAATAACAGAGATCATGGTAATACCCAGTATTCACATATGTACTCGAAATGAACTGTGTGTAACAGATATTATTATCTCAAAATTATTTCTAACGTCGTTACACGTAATAACAACAAGCTTTCCTTTTTCATTTGCAGGCCCGTAAACTCACTGAAGTTTTCAGAATGCCATTTATAAAGAAAAATGATATGAAATAGAGCAAAAAACATTCTGTACATATTTTGCATAAATAAAAGTTTCTATTCTAATCGATAACTATGATTCAATAATAAACAACACAGTCTTTATAGTGTTCTTTGCGTTGATATATAAAACGGTTGATTAACAAATTATACCACCATTTTAACTATAAACGTTTCGGCGTGACTATAATTTATGGACGAACCAATGACATCAAGAATAGAAAGTCTTGGATTTTGGCATCATAGCTGATGTCGGTTCCAGATGGAAACCCTTGATCTAATTCTGAACCCTAAATCCTAATCTCGATTCCTCATAGTAATTTATTGCTCTCTCCCTACCCTAGTGTAGTGTGTAGGTGAGTCGTCTCAGGATCACTAGTATCGCCAGAGGTCGTCCATAAATTATAATCTCCGCAAAGTTTCTTGTACCAAATCTCATTTCTTGTGTTATTAGTATATGCCAAAAGTTGCTATCTGCTTGTTAATATATAATTTTCATTTAAAAGTTAAAAAAATGAAGTTCAGCGAAGGGATATCTTTCTCACGAATTTATTATCAAGATGTACAACCGTATACATAAATGTAACTTTTTGTTGAAGTACTAGTTCTGTGAGAAAATGTGAACAAGAAATAACCAAGATGGTCTGATAGAAAGATTATGTGTACAAACAGAAAATCTTGTAAAATTAATAAGTTAGGAACGGATTATAGTGTGCATGAAGATAATAAAATGTTTTTGTTACAATAATTAAAGTGAAAAATTGAATGAAGTGATATCAGAAACAATTAATTAATAAGAGCACACAGACGATAGAAGCTGAAAACCAGATTCAAAGAACATATTAGAGGTAGTTGAAAAATTTCGTTTTTCTAACTACTCATCAGTACGAATGAAACCTGAGGCCCTATGATGATGTGCCTGAAAATGCTGTGGTACGGTCGAGGGTCAGGGAAGTCCCCGTGGTCTTTTCGTGGCGGGAGTGTTATTTACGAAATTGAGAGGACGAAAAGCGGGTGTTCAGCACTTAAAGTGGATTGGTGGATACGGATGATTCACCTAGGAAAGTTGGGAAACCTTGATTCAAAATGGGCTTCAGGATCCTGAGGGAACAAAAGGCGTATGATACCATTCCTGGTCACCAGGTATCATGGAACTTCATCTGACGTCGCCCCACCACTCGGGAAGTGGGTCCTTAAGAAAACCACCTACTTTGGTTTTAGGACCCAGACAATATCCCGGCCCATAAAAGTTTAATGATAAACACTGTGGCGCATATATATTTTGGTGCCCTTTTATACCAACTCCGCCTGTAGCTCATCTAGGGTTACTGTCCCAAGCCCGAGTAAAGAAAGAGGTTTGGGCATGGAGTCACCAACCACATGCCGTAGAGAATAATCTTTCTAAAAAAACGCTAACTAGGGTAAACTATTTAAACGCTGTCTTGGTAGTTTAGGGTCTTTATTCAGAAGAATTATACCTCATGGAGAAAGCTGAGATTCTTCGAAAATCACGAGGTCGATGCTCCTTCTAACAACCAGAGCAACAGTAAATATCGGTACGTGGAATGTCTGGATAATGTGGGAAATAGCAATAGACAACAGACGAACAAGAGCAGAAGTCAAGGGACAGGCTGAATACCCAGAAACAAACAAGCAAATGAAGAAGAGCTTTAGAGCTGACAAGCAGAAACATGTGGAAGACCTAACAACGACAGTGGAAAAAGCTGAAAGTGAAGGAAATACGAGACAACTAAATGAATATGCCCATTATGACATTAAATAAGAAAGAAAGATTAGTTCAGCGAAGAGTTCTCTTTTCGGCGAATTCATTTTCAAAGCTTTACAATCGCAAATATATACACTTATTTTTACAGGGTGATAATAATACTGATAATAAACTTCTGTTATACATGGTGACAGTGAGGTTAAATAAACAAAGGTATTAAAAAATTTTAAACAAGGGAAGTTTACTAATCGTTTGATAGTTAATCGCTCAGCATGATAAAATAAAATGTTGAAACAGAGATGAAATGTGATCGGAATGATCGTGGAAATAAAAACGAACCGGTTGGGGGTAGAAGATTTGAAGGGAAGATGGGAGGTGAAGCAGGTGACTAAGGGAACAAGAGTATGAAAAAATAGAAAAAAAATTAATACATTAAGACCATAGTAGAAGAAGAGGTTGTACCAGTCTCTTTTGTACACATAATTCTGGTTTTTCAAAATGTATGGCTATTGCCTCGGCAATGCAAAGAAGATGCAGTCTAATTGTCTTAGGAAGGCTTCTACTTACCTTGTAGATGACTTTGAACGCAGAGTCTGTCTTGATTGAGTGACCTGTGTTCACAAGGTGTTCGAATGTAACCAACAAATTAAATCAGTCTCCACAAAATCACTTCAATTTAACTGTACAACCGTTAGCTCAATAGTGATTTATTTCACAATGTAATTATGAGTTTTTTTCCTTATCGGGACTAACCAGACAAATCGCTCCACCAACTAAGAACGGCCATGCACCACCACCCACCGAACCAAGAAAAAGCTATTAGTCTGTCAATCCTCACAGTGTCCGGGCCGGATGAGCTTTTCCGTGTTGGATCGAATTACACCGAAGACTCCACTCCTGGTGGTGCCCTTCCGTCAGTTCCTTTAAGTTTCAGCTTTGCAACCACAACCCCCCTGGAGCCCAAAGACTTAAAGGTTTACCAGGGACTGCCTGCGATGTCAATCAACACGGAGAACATCAACCTAGTCACTTTTGATGGAGAAGCTCTGGAAGGGGTGGAAACGTTCATGTTCCTGGGCAGTATCATTGGTAAACAAGGAGGATCTGATGCAGAAATACGAGGATTGGCAAAACAAGTATTTGTAAACAATTGTCTACGCAAGATACTCGATGTTCGCCGGTCGGATACCATGAGGAATAGTCTATTGTGGAAGAGAACAAACCTGCTCCCCGCTGAAGAGGAAATTAGGAAAAGACGTTGAAAGAGGATAGGACATACATTGAAGTAATACCAAACTGCATCACGAGGCAAGCGATGGCTTGGAATCTTCACGGGGAAATGAGAAGAGGAAGGCCGAAGAACACTACGTCGGGAAATGGAAGCAGACATCAGAAGGATGAATAGCTACTGGAAAGGATTCCCATGACAGGATGGGATGGAGAATTCTGATATGCTCCTCCACGAGGAGTAACAGGCGTAACGAAAGTGAGTCACTTTGCATCGATGTTTATTTGTCTAAATGTAATATATAAAATATTACCTTAGTAACATATAATAGGCACCACATTGTCGAATCATATGATTTACGATTTATATTGCAAACTTGGTTGGCCGAATTTTACCAATACTAATAGCTACTTAACGACTGACTAAGACAGCATTTAAAATTTACCGTTTGCACTGACGCACAGGAATACTTGCAATTACACTTTAGTTGTGTTTGAAAAGATTAATACAATGAAGATGACAACTGTAATGATAGGACGAAGTTCGTAAGATCAGTAACTCGAAGTAATCAATTATATGTACACAAAAGTATGTAATATATAGTTGGCTACTTTTCATTTTAATGTTACCAATGAAAACAGGCAGTATAAGGAAGACCGATTCAATCGTCAAGCCTAAGATTCCAGAATTCCTAACCTGTATAGCAATGTCCCAAATCCTACAATCTAAATTCGAAGCTGCAACATTATCTTTGGAAGCATCACAGCTAAATGAGCCTTTACAAACCACGATTTGGTTAGCCCGTGTCATAATCATCTATGAAGTCGATACCAGTAACTCCATGTGAACAACTTTCCTTTCAAGGTCGACATTAATACTACATAAGCAGTCCCATTACATGTGAATGCCGTGTTACCATAGCTACCAGGCTATTTCTTAACCACTTATTAGAGCTTCTTGAGAATATACAGTTTTATCACTTTTTTAACTGAAGACTAAAGAGATGTAGACGAGGTGATAAATGTAAAGTACCTTTCTCGAAATAGAGGAAGTGTAAAGTGTGGACGACTGGTCTCATGAAAACAATCGATTAGTTACTTTTCATTTGCAGCAAGAAAACTGTTCGTCACTGCTAACACTGAAAGCAGGTATACTCCGCTTCAATTTAGGACATGCCATAAACACGGCTAGATTAAAAAATTATAACATGATAATTATACACACAGACGTAGGAGTCATCAAATATCAAAACCAGTTATAAGAAGGGATTTATTTTGATGTGTAGATTTATTGACTCACAGAAATACGAATTTAGGCAACTAGAACCAAATGCAATTAAAAGAACGATTTTGGTTAAGTCTGTATAATCCATCGAGCTGAGTTAACGGCTCTGCGAACCAGGAACCACTGGACTTGTAAACGACTAGAAATACTAATCCTGGTCGCACTACTATGATTGTAAGCTCTACTTGACATTGTGACTAGTCTTGTGGGGATAGTGGAACGTCATGTGCTTCCGAACAAGACGGTCTTCTTAAACCACATTTTGACCTTGTCACTTATTGGTTTATTTATTCTGTTTTTAAATGAGTGTATGTATGTGCACATCTTATCCTACTCATCACATATCTGTAGCTTATTTTTATCTGGCTTAAAATATTGATTACATCGAGTTGGCTCACTTGTCTTATCCACCACATGTCATTTCGCTTCGCTCTCTTCTCTTCGTTTCTCAGCTCGTTTGTCTGGATCAACGATTGTATGAAATATATGTTTACGAAATTGATTCTCGTATTTGACTTATTTAATTCTGTTATTCACTAACGCGGATTAAGTCGATAATTGTATACGAGGATAGCCGACATCACAGCAATCATTCAACAACGACCATTTGTCCGATCTAACTGGAGTCAGGTTTCGGGTCACAAAAGTCTAGTCCAATTTAAAATCCCACAACTTCAGAGGATAAAACAGTTCAAAATCACTATACGGCTCACAATCAAGAAGTACTGATACGATTTCTGTCTCATTTTGTCTACTTTTGGGTTTGAATATAGATATTCAATCGACATAAAGATACACACCTAAAGTTCAATAACTTCATAGTGGTAAATAGTGATTTGATAATTCTGATACTTATAAGGATATGTGCACACGAGCTACCACCTAAACACTTAAAATGTGATAAAGGATGTCATACGTTTTTCACAAGGTAACTACCATTAATGAATCGTAAGTAGTATTATCTAAGA